CCCCCCCCCCAAACTCTCGCCGTCGTTTGCCTGAGTGAACTTTCCCTCCACAGTACCTACAGACACCCACCTGCACGCACGCCACAAGGCATTTTCTTCCGTATTACCACACTTTTTTGGACAGACAGCGCCCGCCCAACCCGCTTGGGTACGAGCCACCACGTTCGATTCATCCCGTACATCGTCTTGGTCATCACCAACATGGCCTTCACCAACCCTCGCCGCCGAGATGCGGCTGCCGGCCCCTCTGAGCCTGGCAACGTCTCCCTGTACGCCAAGCCCGTGAGCCCCCTCCACAAGGGCGCCACCTTCCACGCTCCTTCGTCGCCCACCGCTGCCGCCGACCAGGCCTTCGTCCCGCCTTCGCTCCCGCGCTCCATGAGCCAGATGGGCGATGTCGTCGACGCCAACCGCCGCCGCATCGCCATGACTCTCAGCGACATCGACGTCGCCCTCTCCCTGGACAAGCTCTCGCTCTCGTCCTCGCCCAAGGAGGATAGGCCCACCGCCGGCCTCCGCGATAACAGCTCTCCCATACCCCGTGGCTTCCTCGACCTCTCCGATACCGACTCGGCATCTGGCAAGGAGCGCCAGAGGCGTGTCATCTGCACTCGCTCCCGCCGGGGCAACAGCCATGCCTCGGACAGTGGTCTCGGCCCGTCTGTCGACTCCGCCTCCAGGTTCAGCGAGAGTGTCAAGTTGAAGGGCAAGAAGCAGCTATCGGCCACCTCATCCGGCACCTCGACCACGGCCGCGGCCATCACCCACTCCATCGTCTCGCCCAACACCGACGGCCTTCCCGGGCTCGGTCCCAAGGCCGTCAACCGTATCCACGAGCACACCATCCGCCCTCTGCTCGAGAAGCCGTCGCTCAAGCCGTTTGAGCCCATTGTCCAGGATGTGCCCCGCCGCATCCGCTCCAAGGAGATCATCTGCATGCGTGATCTCGAGAAGACGCTGCTCTTCATGGCTCCGGTAAGTCAACTGTCTCCTGATAAGAGGTCCGTGGGAGGGGGTTGGGAGGGGGAGTTGCTTACAGGACCTTGCTCGTGAAGGCAAAATCCGAGACGGGACTCGATTACCTAGACTTCTGCTTCACCTCGATCCGGTGCATCCAGGCCACCGTCGAGTACCTCAACGACCGCGAGCAGGTCCGCCCCGGCGACCGGCCCTACACCAACGGTTACTTCCTCGACCTCAAGGATCAGGTCCTCCAGTACGGCCGCGACCTCGCCGCCGCCAAGGGCGACGATTCCATGGATATCGACCGGTATGTATCCCGCTTCGTGTCTGCCGACACCATCCGAGCTAACCCGACCCCAAGAAACGACGAGATCAGGCTTCACGGCGGCATGGCCGAGAACGGCCGTCCGGCTGAGCTGGTGCGGATCCGAAAGGACGGCACCGCCGTCTCCATGGCCACGGGCAAGCCCGTCGACATCAGCGAGGGCCCCGTGCAGTTCAAGCGTTCGCTGAGCGAGCAGCGCGAGGACGACGAGGAGATCATGCGGTCCATGGCGCGCCGCAAGAAGAACGCCACGCCCGAGGAGCTAGCGCCCAAGCGGTGCCGCGAGCCCGGCTGCAGCAAGGAGTTCAAGAGGCCATGCGACCTGACCAAGCACGAGAAGACGCACTCTCGTCCGTGGAAGTGCCCCTTTGGCACGTGCCGCTACCACGACTACGGCTGGCCCACCCAGAAGGAGATGGACCGCCACGTCAACGACAAGCACTCGGACGCCCCCGCCATGTACGAGTGCGAGTTCAAGCCTTGCCCTTACAAGTCAAAGCGCGAGTCCAACTGCAAGCAGCACATGGAGAAGGCCCACGGCTGGACCTACGTGCGCACCAAGACCAACGGTGGCAAGAAGGCTTCGGTCTCGGTCTCGGCCTCGGCATCGTCCAACAAGGGTGACAGCCCCTCGGCCAAGGAGACCCCTCCGCTTGCCAACGCGTCCACGCCCTCGGACTCGTACAGCGTCGTCACCCCCCGGGACAACAACAGCAGCGCCGCCGCGGACGGGAGCGGTGCGGGTGCCCAGAACGCGGCCAGCAGCGACTTCCCCCTCTACCAGCCCGACGCCGAATGGCTGGTCAGCTACGGACTCCCCTCGGAGCACATGGAGGGCATGGACCTGGGGATGGAGCAGCCGTCCCCCCTGTCGGCGGCCTCGTACGAGCAGTTCCCCCCTTACCAGAACGGCTCGCAATTTATCAGCGATGAGGACCTATACGCCGCCACGGCGCACCTGCCCGACCAGCACATTTCCCTGGCGGACTGTATGATGTACGGCAAGATGACGGTCCAGCCTGTCCCCTCTCAACTCTCTCAGCCTGCTCAGCAGCAGCAGCAGCAGCAGCAGCAGCAGCAGCAGCCGCAACACATGATGGGTCTGCCTCCGACGAAGCAGCACGACCTGCTCCTGCACTACCAGCAGCAGCAGCAGCAGCAGCAGCAGCAGCAACATTTCAGCACAGCTCCCACATCTGCTTCCGCCGTGCAAGAACCACGCTTTTCTCCCAACGCCCATCACAATGCCATGCTGTACACGCCTCTCGATATGGAGGACGGATACGATGATGTCGGTGCCGGCGTTGACTTCCAGCTGTTCCCCAGCGGTGGCCAGGCCAACACCAGCGCGGACGTGGGCGGCAAGGAGGGCTCGCAGTCCCTGTTTGGCATGCCCGGTGCAGATCTGGGCTTCTCGCAGACGTCCCAGCCCGACATGTTTGGCGAGGTAAATCTGATGCTGTCTTCCCAAATGTTTCAGGCATAAAAAGTGCGCAGGTGCCGGTGACGGGTACTGCGTGACGTGATGAATTCTCAACCATGTTTCTGTGTGTCTGTTTTTACTCCTACACACCTCTTATCAACCCCTCTCATCCATTGTGCTCTGAAGTTTGGATGTCTGTCTTTTCTCCCTCTCTCTTTTTTTTAAAGAAGAATGATGATATATGAAGGTTTTGCTGTGTTCCGATTCTTGTTGTATCTAGAGAAGTTTGCTCATATTTTTTTTCTCGGGGGAATTTCCCCCCCCCTCTCTTCTCGTTGTATTTCTCTTCTACTGCGATATTCTGTCTGGTTTTCTGGCACTCTGGATCTCCGTGCTCAGCTCTGTGCTCAATAGTTTTTGACGATCAATAGGCTTTTGCTTTTGTCTTTTCGGTGCGACGCTTGCGGTAGACGAGATGATTCTCGGCATGATGTGAGACGACTGCTAAATGATGAATTGGAATGTGTGAGAAGTGCTGGGTCCCCCCACCAGGACTCATTAGATAAGTCATACGACTCTCAAGAATGTCCGATCGACAGAACTGCCCCTCCCCCGCTTTCCCCTCATCGTCATGGTATACATACGTGCCCTCCCAACTGGCAACTGGGCAACTGGGCAACTTGGGATATGTAGACTTTGCCATCTCACAAACCCATCATCTATATATATCTCTACTCTCTCTCCTTTCATGACTGTTCATAGCTTCCATCTCTTATCAACTTGCTGATCGATTGACAAATATACGGGAGAAGAAGAGAAGAAGGAAACGAAGATGGGCTCACAACCTCCGCGCAAACAGTTGACCGTCCTGGTGACCGGATTCGGGGTGAGTTCTTACCCTTGACAGAAACTCGAAAGAGAGAGAGAGAGAGAGGGTCTCTTCTCTCTTCTTTCTCTCCCTCTCCCTTTTTCTTCTTGAAAAACAAAAGGAAGGAGGGGAGAAGAAGACGAGACCGAAATGAACCTCCTCCCCAGAAACCCCCTAATACAAAGAAAATATAAAGAAAATAAAAAATAAGAGACTGACCCCAACTGACCCGACCTGAAGCCCTTCCGAGAGAGATACCCGGTCAATCCATCCTACGAGATAGCCCGAGGTCTACCATCCAACCTGACAGCGTCATCGGCCGACGGCAAGGACGTCGACGTCCGCATCCTGGTTCATCCAGAGGCCATACGCGTGAGCTACAAGCGCGTACGAGACCTGGTCCCCACTCTCTGGGATGGCGAGGGCGAAGGAGAGGGAGGAGAAGGAAGAGGAAAGGCAGGACAAGAGTGGAGGAGTCCGGACCTGGTACTCCACATAGGCATGGCGGGACCTAGGTCGTACTACCAGATCGAGCGACGCGGTCACAGGAGGGGCTACAGGTCCAAGGACGTGGATGGGGAGGACCTATCGCCGGAGGCGGACGGCACCCTCGGACCGGAGGAGTGGATCTGGTACGGCTGCCCGGACGAGATCGAGTCGGACCTGGACGTGGCCGACGTCCTGGACCGGTGGAGGAGGTACGCCCACGGCCTTGCCGACCTCCGGCTGTCGGATGACGCGGGCCATTACCTCTGCGACTTCATCTACTACTCCTCCCTGGCCCATCTGTGGAAGGCGGGTCGCAGGAGGGCCGTCCTCTTCTTACACGTCCCTGCTGATGCGGGGGATGACAGTGTTCGGCTTGGGAGGAGGCTAGCCGTCGATCTTGTCAGGAGTATGGTTGAGAGTGAGATGGGTGAGGATGAGGGGGTTTGAATTTCTTCTTCTTTTTCTTTCTTTCCTTTTTCTTTTCATTACCTTCTCTTCTTTCTTATATATATATATATATAATATACAACATATTTCATATAATGTAACTTATAAACCAAACTAGAAGCATATTTACTGAACTTTGTATACTGACATCATACCGGAATCATGACTGTTCTTTCTGTGTGGATATCACCAAATGCTGGCACAGCCGGACTATTAGATAACCCGACCCCGTTAGGGGTAGCACCGGCCATATCAACGCCGGATTCGTAGCATCGCGATAGTCACAAGAGGAAGAAAAGGATAACCTAGATCGATATCACATAGCATACCTGCCTTTTTAAGGAAGAGGCAGTCGTGCACGTGACAGACCGGATATCAATAGATCCACCGTTGATACCAACCCTTTCTATAAAAATAAAAATAAAAGACCCGTGACGTCGGCGATGCAACATCCCCAGGTCGCCGACTTATCGCTAGTTTGTATTTTTTATTTTTGTATTTTTATGTTTTTTCATTAGGAAAAAAAAAGTCATTATAAATCACACCCGAATTCTCTCCGAATTGTTAAGAAAGACCCAATCTCCTCTCACTTTCTCAACATAATAGTACTTTTTAACAACAACAACAACAACAACAACAACAACAACAACGACAACAGCAGCAACAATAACAGAGACAACACTGATATACAAAACATAATACATCATCAAAACCACCCAACCACCCAACATGTGTAGAAAGGCCACTTGCAACACCTGCAGTAAAGTCACCCTGATCCAAGCTTCAAGCTCCCACCACCGAACCGACTAACCTTTCCCCTCCCCTTTTCAGATAAAGTCTCCTGGCTGGGTTGCGGCGCTCACGTCCCGCAGGTCATGGACTCCGTCCCACAGGATGAGCGTTGCGTGTGCACCCCTCGTCTCGATGTGGGGGGTACGGAATATCCTCCCATGGCTAAATGATGTCGTCTGCGATGGCTGTCTTATTCTAATCTCTACTCCGCATTCTGGACAGGAGTTCCTTTTCTCTCTTTTTCTTCAAAATGGGAAGGATGGGTGAGCGAGGAGTTGGGGAGGGGGTTGGGTTGGTATTGTCAGGTTGGAAAGATAGGACAGTCAATATATATTGAACTCACTCATTCTATATGATTATAAGAGAGAGAGAGAGAGAGAGAAAGATGCATACATCTTCTCTCGTCATGTCCCATCACATCATCTCCTCCTTGCACCGCCTCCACCTCCACCACCACCACCAGCATCACCCCTCTCGGCCAGACTGACAACCTCTTGGATACCAGCTGCCTCTTGCTCCTCCTCTATGGCGGTAATCTCCTCGCGGCTGTCCCACCACTTCTCCTCGGACAGCTCGAAAGCACGGGACTTGATCTCCTTGATCGTCAGGGTCTCGGGCTGGACGTTCTTCCACCGTAGGTTGGTCATGAGGATCTCCTGCCACTCGTTTGATGTGCGGACGAAGAAGTCTCGGCGGGATTCAAAGGGCTGATATAGCAGAGGTTAGCTGCGGGGAACAAGGGGAAAAAGAAGAAGAAGATAAAGACGAAGAAAAAGAAGAAAGGAAAAAGAGAAAAAGAGAAAGAAAGAAAGAAAGGAAGACAGACAGACAGAAAGAGAGAGAGAGAGAGAGAGAGGAAAAAGGAAGAGTGGTGTAAGAAAAGAAAGAACGAAGAAAGAAGAAAGAATAAAGAGAAAGAAATTTTCTTTTACCCTTGGATGAGGTAGACCGTCATCTGCCACTACCTCGTCATCGTCATCCTCTGTCGTCGCTGTCGTCGTCGCCGTAGAAGGCTCTGTCGTCTCTGACCCTCCTGCTTCGGTCGCTTCCTCCTGCTTCTTCTTGCTGCGTTTGCTAGGGGTGGATTGCTTGTCCGCAGTCTCGTACACTTCGTCGTCGTCGTCATCGTCCTCATCATCATCTTCGTCATCCTCGTCATCCTCGTCATCCTCGTCATCGGAATCCTAAAACAAGTATACGAATTAGCCATGCGATAAAAGGCACACATATTGGACATAAAAAGATAGTAATGGAAGAGAAAATGGAGGAGGAGGGGGGGGGGGATTGGAAATGGACCAAGAGGTTGAGAGACTCGAGCGGATATTTGTGTGTGTGTGTGTGTGAGGGAGAGAGAAAGGAGGAAAAGAAGAGAGAAAAAGAAGAAGAGAAACATACGATCCAGTCCTCAACAGCCCTCTGGAAAATCTGCTTGCACCCATCCAGTTTGTCCAGGTTTATGGCATAGAGGTCATCAAAGGTAAATTCCCGATCGCCCTTTTCAAACGTCCCACCGTAGATGTAGAGGATGTCTCCCTGGACAGCCATCTGCGCATTGAACCGGACGTGCGGCGGCTCCAGAGTAACGGGGTACTCCTTCCTGGGACCGTCGCGGTCGTCACCGTCGTCTCCCTCGCCATCAGGCCGGTCACCGCTGCCGTCGGCCTCGACTTCCTTCTTCCTGGCGAGCTCGATGTCGTCGATGTCCTCGAGGGAGGCGCCCATCTCGATGGCCTGCAGCTGTCGGAGCAGCTCCTCGTCGTTGCCCTGGCGGCCGCGACGCCCGCCGCCGCCGCCGCCGCCGCGGCGCTGGTCCTGGTTGCCGCCGCCCTTCCTGGACTGCTGCTGGCGCGGCCTGCGCAGGTTGAGCGGCATGAAGCGGTTGCGGTCGATGTTCCACGCGAAGAGCTGGTTGAAGAATTCGCTGTCCATGCCCTCCTCGCTCTGCTCCACGTCGTACACCCCGCCGAACAGGATGCCGCGGCCCTTGTGCCACGTCATCGTGGCGCCGGCGCGCGCCGGGTTGGGCGAGTTGGTCGGCTTCTTGCGCTTCTCCCACCGTACGCCGGGAGGGCCATCCTCCGTCGCCGGCAGGGTCATGCGCAGGAAGAAGCAGTCCTCGTGGACCATGGGCCTGAGAATGTTCTTCTGCCCTTGTACGCTACCACCACCACCGCCGCCACCTCCCTTGGAACCCTTTCCACCCTTCCCGCCGCCGCCGCCGCCGCCACCTTTTTGCTTGATCTTCACCGTCGCCTTGACGCGTGAATACCCACCGTACAGGACTGCACCGGTCTCGTGCGGTAGAAAGGTAAAGGACGAGCGGGCGTCGGGCTTCAGCTGCGCGGGGGGCAGGTTGGGCGAGTGCCAGACGTAGTTGACCGTGTCGAAGATCCACAGGTCGGCCATGTACCGCGTCTGGTTCGACGTGTCCTGGAAGCCGCCGAACAGGATTATGTAGTGCTTCCAGTACGTCATGCGGTGGCCGCTGCGCGCCGGCGGGCTCTTGTCCTTGCCCTTGACCTCGATCTTTGTCCACTCGCGCGTCGCCGGCTCCAGCCTCCAGAAGTCCGAGTAGTGGTGGAAGGTCCCCTGCTTGGGCGACGAGAACTCCCCGCCAAACAGGTAGACGAAGTTGGGGTTGGACGACCGGCTCCAGGCGTGCCCGGACCGCGGGAGGGGCGCGTTGGGAGACGTCACCGTGCGCCACTCGTCGCGCGAGATGTTGTACACGTGCAGGTCGTTGTAGAAGGTCGCCATCGCGCCGTTGAAGTACTCGCCGCCGAAGAGGAGGAGCACGTTGCTGTCGTGGGGGGCCGCCATGAGCGTCGAGGCGCTCCGCGGCTTGGGAGGCTCAGGGCTCACCGTCTCGGTGATCTTGTGGAACTGCTCCTGCTGACGGCGGTACTCTTCCAGGATCTCGTCCAGGTCGGCGTCCTCGCCGTCGCTGCCCTCTACCTTGGCCGCCTTGGTCTTGGCCTTCTTCTCACCCTTGTTGGCTTGCTTGGCTGCCTTCTCGGCCTGTCATGGGTGTGCGCATTCATGATTAGCCCACTCACTCTCTACATACCGTCCATCAGTCATTACCCCACTCCCTTTGCATGGGGAGGGAGTGAGCGAGCGAGCGAGTGAGAGGCATTGCTTGAGAAAGAGAGAGAGACTTGGACCCTTGGATCTTGGGCCCTTGGAGTGGTAGAGGGGTCCTGTGTTGGGAACGAAAACTCACCTTTTTGGCCTTCTTGACGTCATTTCCCTTCTTCTTGTCCTTGGCCATGATGCAGTTCTAGATGGTAGTGTTCTGCTCTTCTATTCGATCTTTGTGGGAAAAAAAAAGAAAACCAACTCCTCACTTCTTTTACTGCCACATGAGAGATGTTGTTGCCGCATCGACTGGAAAACTTTTTGCTGTTGAAGTCGAACTATGCCACAGTCGCTGCCCGTCTCCACATTAGCACCTTGGGAATCTTTTGTGGGAGCCTTTCAACACCAAACAGCCCATCGATTCATCCTTTACGTCTCTATAAGAAAAGCTACTCAATATGCTAGATGACCATCGCATACGCCTCGTATATAGGCCTGCCGTTAGAAGCGCCCTCCATCAAAGGGGAAAAAAAACAGGGCAGAAAAGAGACGAGACGAGAGCATCGAACTTGTCTCTTCCGAGGTGTTGCGTAGCATCAATATCATCTTTCTCGCGAGCGGAAACGTGTCCCATTTTCGCGTCGTAGCCGACTCACATATCCCCTCAAGGATAACTCCGCATCAGCGAGAGTTTTTGCTGCTGTTCTTCCTCTGCCCCTTCCCCGGTATGTAAGTGACCATGGCCTTGCTAGCCCCTTCCATGCAGTACTGCACAACCTCAATCTTCTTACCTCTGGGCGCCAGCTTGGCCACCTGCCGCAGGTCACTCGTCCTGGGGAGGTAGAGCGCGTGGTCCATGGGTCCGCAGGCAGCGTGCAGCTGCGCCAGGTTATACGGCTGCATGGTATCCAGGTTGAATACCTGGTCGGTCGAGTAGCCGACACCTCCCCAGGGCGGGCTGGCGAAGACGACGGTGGCAGCCGTGTCGACCTTCAGCTCTGCGTGCAGCTCATCCGGCCGGTTGGTCAGGGCGTCGAGGTACTCAAAGGCGTCGCCGTTGATCCAGGTGATGACGCCAGGCTCGACGCCGTACACCTCCGCATTGTGCTGGGCACAGGCGAGCGTCGAGGCGTCCCTCTCCAGGGCGATGATCTTGTCCCACCGGCCCGAGAGGGCAAAGGCGATGGTGTTGCCTCCTGCGCCGGCAAACATGTCTATAAGGGTGGTGATCTCTGATCGACCGTCGTACATGTCGTACATGTCGCTGGCAATATGGCTGGGAGAGATTTCAGTCAATGTGTCAACAGAGGCACAGGCAGAGGCCGAGGCAGAAGACATGGAGGGGTGGCGGAGACGTACTTGGCTACCGGCTCTGGCGTCACGCCGAACCAGGCGTCGTCTGTCATGTAGATGCCTTCGTCATACCATGAGAATATCGAGTACCTCTGGGAAAAGTATCTGGCCGAGCGGTCAGCACGAAGGAATCTAGACAGTATCGAGCTGAGCCATCCTCGCATGGTCTCCTCTCACGTGGAAATCAGAGCGGGGGAGACACACTTTTGGATATCCCAGGGCACCTCGTCGCTCCCCTCATAATGTTTGCATTCGTCCCTCAGCTCCAGTCTCTCGGCGGGTTCCATTGGGACGCTCGGTTTCGGTGACCGGATTGAGAGCGAGAGCCCATGCGGATGATTCAGAGAGCAACGGTCCCTAGCAAGGCATCTCTGCCAAGATGGCCTCTGTTGTCGTGATAAGATACGCAGTAGCAGCAAGAGAAGAACTGCAGTGGATGAAAAACAGACGAGGCTGATGAGAAGCTTCTGCCCATTCCAGGGACCAGACGCCTCAGTCTGGGGCTCTTGGGGGAGGAGGGCGCTAGAGCGGAGTGCTACGGGCTGCAAGGCTACCACTGCTTAGATATAAGTCACGAGGTTAGACAGGGACGCAGTGCTAGTAGTACCTGCAGTATCCGTACCCGTACCTACCTATTACCTATACAGCGCTCCCTCCACCATATAGCGATGGCCGTAGGTATAGGGTCCTACAGGTACCTACACTATACTATACCATAGGTGTGTCCTTTCATAGAGGACACCAACCTGTACATACACAATACAGGCACACCGTTACCTCCCATGTTCAGTCCCGCCACAACGTGACAGCCGCTACGTAATAATAGTGGACAGCTAAGACGTCCTAGTCATTCCCTCTCTCCGTCACCCTCCCTCGCGACGCCGGAGCTCTTCCGTATTGCAACCATAAGGTCGACAGCAGGCCACGTCGGCATAAGCACCGGAAATCCCCCTTGTCGCGTGAAGCAGAGGCAAAACATGTTCAACGCTCTGAACCGGTTCATGTCCCGTCTGGACGGCGACGCCCCGCAACGCCGCCAGCACGACAACGGCTCCTACGGCTTCCAGGTCCTGCGCAACACCAACCTCGACCTCCCCATCGAGCCATGGTTCGACTTCGTCGTCGGCATCAACGGGCGGCCTATCGAGATCCCTGACGCGAACCTATTCGCCCAGGAGGTGCGCAACTGCGCTGGCGGGACTGTGACGCTAGGTCTATGGAACGCAAAGGTATGCACACACCAGCACACCCACACACACACACACATACACACATGCGCACGCACATATATATATATACGATGCGACAGATTCATATCCTTCCACCTCTACCCTTCGTACCTGTGCTGACCGGGTACCCTCTCAAAATAACAGGGCCAGCGCATGAAGGAGATGCACATCCCCGTCCCCGTCGACACGACATCCCTCGGCCTGTCGCTCCAGTGGGCGCCCATCGCCCTCGCCGCCAACGTGTGGCACGTCCTCGACGTGGCGCCCAACTCCCCTGCCGACCAGGCGCCTCTCCTCCCCTACAGCGACTACATCCTCGGCAGCCCCGAGGGCGCTCTCAACGGCGAAGCCGCCCTGGGCGAGCTGGTCGAGGACTTCATCGGCCGCCCGCTCCGGCTCTACGTCTACAACAACGAGTACAACGTCGCGCGCGAGGTGACGATACAGCCCCGGCGCGACTGGGGAGGCGAGGGGGCCCTGGGGTGCGTCCTGGGATACGGCGCGCTGCACCGCCTCCCCGCCCCCCTCAGCGAGCCTGTCAACCCGCCCGGCGACACCATGTTTGACGGCGCCGACGGCAGCTCCGCCACCACCGCAGCGACCACAACCTTTGTGCCTGCCGACTCGCCCGCGCCCGGCGTGGCTGCCGGAGGCGGCGGCGACTACCTCGTGCCCGCGCAGATGGTTGGCGCCACGCCCGTCAGCGCACCCCCGCGCTCCGGCAAGAAGAAGGACAGGCATGCCACCCGCAGCCCCCTGAACGGTGACATGGATGATTACTTCAGGGAGGGAGAGGCCAAGAGCAAAGAGCTTGATCGTGCGCCCAAGAGTAAAGGGTCGGCTGTGCCGCCGCCGCCAAGGGCTGGGGCTGGACCTCCCAGAGCTGCTGCTGCCACACCAGAGGCTTCATAGAATTGTGTATTAATATTGGTAATAGTAGAAGAGAGAAGAAAAAGGATACGGAATGACTGTCATGATATTTCCCCCAAACTTAATTCTCATTTCGTATGTTCGTCTACTCGCTCTTCATCTCTTGTTCGGTGGCTGGAGAATGAAAGTGAAAATGAAACCCACGCCTATTGCCTTGATGTTCCCCCCTCCATCTTGGTGACTTTCCTCATGAAAAAAAATAAAGGGCCAAGTTGTAATTGTACACACAAAACACGCCTGCTCCTCCCCGCGATTTCTTCTAGTTGATAAAGTTGACGCAGAAAAAGTGCAGAATCAGGCTGCACACGATGTAGTCGGCAAAGGCCCTCTCGGGAGAAACCTTGGGGAACTCGGACTTGTTGGCGGTGGTGGTCTGGATGCGTAGGGAGACTGTGTGGGGGGGGTTGGGGTTTGCGGCCACGCCGTGTCAGCAGATGCTTCCTCCTTTATCATGATGATGATGATCATGGCAGGCATCAGACTTACTTGTGAGGACGAATTGGCCGACGGTACCGCAGAAGCCAGATAGGAAAGCGTTAAAGGGCTGGTGGGGTTCGTGTCAGCTGCCGAGGGTCAGAAGAGGGTGGGAGAGAAGAGGGCATACATAGTTGCCGGCGAGGACGCAGTATACGAACTGCAGAGCTCCGACGACGGCGAGGAAGGCGAGAAACACGTCGAGGAGCTTGGTGCGCTGGGGCGTCTCGGCCATGTAGTAGGCGTAGATGTTCTGGAGGACCTTGTCCCATGTGGCTGCGCCGGCGGTAGGCTTGGGCTTCGTCTGGGTCGGAGCGGCAACGGGGGCGGCGGCGGCGGGGACGGTCGATGCAGCTGCTGAAGCCGCAGCTTCGCGGGCGTTCTTTCTAGGTGCCATGCTTTGTCGTTGTCGAGTATCTGCCTGTGATGCCGAAACGTGATCGATGACGACGACTGATGGCGAGAGGGAGGGAGGGAGAGGATGCCGTTTGACAGGCTGCGGCACTGGGGACACGAATTGCTAGCAGGTGGCCTGGCATGATTGGTCAGGAATGGAACCGTGTGGGTGGTGGTGGTGGTGGGCTCATGGATCGCACTTCGGAGTTCGGTGCAAGTCGCAAAATCACTCCACCCCGGCTTTAAAATACGTCGCCTTGTCCACTCCGATCTTCCTCTCTCTCAAAGTCATCTTAAACTCGGTCACATCTGTCACGAAAATGGTGAGGAATTGCGCGCGCCCTCTCCCGCGGGTTAGTATGCTGACCAGGTCCCCCCCTTTAGGCAAACGAGCAGCTCAAGTACACCTCCATCGTCCTGGCCGCCCTCACCGCGGGCGGCGGCATCATGGGCTACGCAAAGACCAAGTCTCTTCCCTCCATCATCGCCGGATGCACCGTCGGAGCTCTATGTAACGTCCCCTCCCATACCACCCATCCCGTCCATGGCCGAGAGAATAGAAGCTGACATCCCTGTGGCCATGACGCAGACGCCCTCGGCGCATACCGCATGCACACCAGGCAGCCCTACGGCGTCGAGCTGTCTCTGCTCGCCTCCGTCGTCCTCGGTAGCTCTGCCATCCCTCGCGCCATCAGGTTGGGCAAGCCCGTCCCCGTCGGTCTCAGCGTGCTGTCTATCGTCGGCATGCTCACTTTTGGCAATGCCTTCCGCAAGCGCCTGTAAAGAAAACGAACGCGACATGACGATCGGTGCACACAAACACTATTTCCCGTGTACTGATAGCAATGTACATGGTATAATATACTAAAACATCGTCTAAATCCGTGAACAGGAGCTGTGCTCTTCCCAAGGCGTTCCGAATGGCCGTACATGCTTGTCTTGTGTGCCTCGTGTGCCTTGGTGTGTTTAGAAATATATGCGCCAGCAGAGCCCCCCTTCTGCATCTTCCCCTCAGGGGGATTGTGGCTCGTACACCGTAGACCAAGAGCTCGCGCGCGATATCGTACGGCGTAGTCGAGCAGCTGTCTCGTTCATTCGCTCGACAGGGAGCTGGGGCGGTCTGGAAGTCCCGGCCCGTGGCTCGTGGCTCGAAGGCTCAGCGAACGTCTCAGAGACCCAGCGCCTTCTGCTCAGCCTTGATCCTGTTGCGCTTCTCCCTCGCGGCAGACCTGTTCTCGGCCTGCATGTTGGTTCGCTCCTGACGGAGGCAACGGTCGACCTTGACCTTCATGTCGTTGCAGCCACCGGTGGCCTTGTGCATGAAGCCTCGGGCGTGGCACTCTTCCAGAGCGGCAATGACTTCTTCGCAGGCTGTTCACGCCACATCCCAAGTCAGCAATCTTTTTCTCGACGGCACGCACCGGAGGGCGAGATGGCGTACCTAGTGCGTTCTTGGTGTGCAGATGAGGATGCATGATGATGGTCGACAAGGGGAATGAATACTCTTGGAGGATGCGCAATAGTGGCAAGTGGTACGGTGATGGGGTAGCGAAGGCCGCACTTTTCTGATTCCTCCGATTTTTGGCCAAGCCCGCTTAGTCAACCCCACAACCAAGCAATAGAGGACGCTGTAATCTGTCATAATCCGTACTGCTGCTGCTGTCTGTTGGCGTACGCAATCCCGAGCTGGTGGACAGATCTACTGTTATTCCCAGGATACAATCACCTTGCAGAGTTATGAATATAACACACAGCGTCATACATCATCATCCGAGATGCAGCCTCGATAGGGCTCAGTCTGCCGAGACGAGAAAAGGGGAGTAGGGAGGAATACATTACAACGAACGACACATTGCCAAGGAGCCTTCTCCAGGCCTGTACTCGCTGGATGGCAAACCGCGCAGAGGTTGGATTTGCCACATAGAGAGGGAGTATCGTGCTATTCCTCTCTCTGTCGGTCCAGTCTTGCTGGGTGAATTTATTGCGGGCGACAGTGGGAAAAAGCATGCATATATTACCCATTGCGTCCCGTTTACGACAACCGTGCAGAAAAATACATACAAGGAGCGCGCCGACAGGAGTTCCAGAGCGCAGGTTCTGGTCACGTCAGAAACTATATGTAGTGCGTACGCTTCATGATGTGTTCCTCGCTGGCATCGATGCTATATTAACTCATAGCTGCTCTCCAGGTTGGAGGCGCTGGGGGCCGGAGCCGGCGAAAGTGAGATAGCGGACGAGTAGGCGGTGGCGGCAGTGAGCACCGCTACGGTTCAATTCTATGGACCTCCATAAACCACCACACCCCACCTCATCCATCATCGTGGGGATTTCACCCGCCACATAAAAAATAAAAATAACCTACCGCCGGGAGCCGAACGGAGAGGGACAGCTCTACGCGTCAAGAAAGACCAGAGGAACGCACGATGTCGAGCTCGTCAGCACAGCAGCCTGCTCCGGGCCAGAAGCAGCCCCAGGGTTCGTCCATGCCACAACCGACCGCTCCTCCCTCCCCCCACCCGTCTCTCTCAATCTCGGAAGCTACCCCTCCATGAAAAGCAGAAAAGGCCATGCTGACATCTCCCCGCGACAGCCGACCTCCAGGCCACCTATTCCAACTACAAGAATACTCTACAGCAGGTCGCTCAGAGGATCGGTGACATCGAGCAGGAGGCTGAGGAGCACAAGTATGTCCCGTGTCGGCCTTCCGTCTGCGTCACATCATACCGACCGTTAGGGGGGGGGGGGCTTGATCAGCACCGATTTGGAAGATGATCAGACCATGTTGCTGACTTTGATAAAACCCCAAGGCTCGTCTTGGAAACTCTGACCCCTCTCGACGACAACCGCAAGTGTTTCCGCCTCATCAACGGCGTGCTCGTCGAGAGGACCGTCAAGGAGGTCATCCCGGCCCTCAGGACGAACCAGGAAGGTCTGAGGAAGGTCCTGGACGATCTGGTGAAGCAGTACAAGGTGAAGCAGGATGAGCTTGAAAAGTGGAAGGTTTGTGCTCCCCCTTACACCCTTTTCTTATCTCGTTCTCAATCCCCCCCCCCTTTTTTATTTTTTTCTTCTTCTTTTTTCTCTCTCTCCATTTCTCTTACTGCTTCCTCTTCTCCTGTGTCCTGTGCCATGCTCCCCCTCTACTCGCGTGACACTGGCTGACACACATTATAGAAGAAGCACAATGTTCAGGTTGTCAGGCAATAACACCGAGATGTATAAAAAGTGAAATTTCAAAAGCATTCCAAACAAACAAGAGAGGGAAAACTCTAGCCTGCTCCCGTGATGCTACTGCGTAACGTTCGGCGAGTATAGAGGCGACATATCCCCCCAACTGCGCAGGGAGAACAGCTTGAGCCCGACGGGTACCAACGGGGAGTGAACTCGAGAGAGGTTTCAGACGGCATGCCAGAATCTCGGGTTGCGAACAAAATCTCTTTTCTTTTTCCAACATGAGACCACATGCGCTGGCAGCTAGACGTCGCACGACTATGGATGTGGAGGACAGGTTTATGCCCAACACCGCGTCCACTAATCTGTACATCAGGCGACAGACTGCCCATGCTGTTGAATGTAGAGACAATATCGATCCTCATTATCGGTCAAACCCCGGTTCCGTGAGGGTCAGAATAAGAGAATACTCGAGGGATATCATTTGATTTCATTGCTACGCTTGTCCAGCTGTAACCACGGAACCAAGTACACTGCCAGTCTGCACTCCTCGCAGTGGCAGCGCAATGTGTTCACCCGCCTTTGCCATCCCGATTTTCCCCATGACTGTACTGAGATGCCCATCCGTTTTTTAAACAAGGCGCTATCGCTCAAACATATGATGGGATCGAAAATAACGAGAAGAAGGAACAGAGAGGTATCAAGGTCATATAACGGCCGTTTCCTGCCCGTCGCATGGAACGGCACTTAAATCTTACATAATCTCTTCGCCTATCGATATCGATGGAGGGAGATAATAGACGATGGATGCGCTACGGAGAGCTACGAGTGTGCCAAACGAACAACAACAACGACAACAACAACAACAAACCCAACAACCGGGGAAACGTGCATCAATACCAGGGCAACGACGACGACGTCATTGCCGGCTATCACATCGGAGAACCCGTATCGGTACGTATATATACCGGCTCCTCGGAGCCTGATAAGTGACGACGATGGGTGATTGCATGCTCTGCCCGCGGCTCGACACACTGAACACACCCCACGTCAGAAGGATGGCCAAAGCCAAGCCGGTGCAGCCAGCGCACTCTCCACACACTGCCAAATGCAATGGAAACAAAGCGGCTAATAACGCTCGTCTACTCTTTTTTTTAATTTGAACAACTCAGACACAAGCACACCCATTCTTTCCGACCCGCCAACCTGATTCCTACCCAAAGCCGCCGCATACTTTCATCCACACCCCCGGTAGGTTCCCCTATTCGATCGCTGTTTTATTAACGGAGCGCATTGCAATAGGCGGCGTGCAGCACTTCGCTTGCTTGATCGTCCTCTCGCTCCCTTCTTCCTCCACCCCCCCCCGCCGCTTTTGGAACCCTGGTCCGTGGCATGTTCGCTGCTGACGCGATCTCTCAGGATTTGAACAGAAATCGAGACGCGCCACTTTCCTTCACCATCCCCGGTACCACCTGCTTTCAGAACCGAGGCGCGCTATCGCCCAGTGCGTGCTGTTGGCGATTTCACACCGGTCGAGAGAAGAAGTCAATTGTGTGGCCTTGCGACGGATCGGAGTCTCACACCGAGTGCGGCAAAGGACCCAGTTACCTTGTCCCGGACACCTATTACGTCGTAGGGACCCCAATTGTTCTCGCGCGTGCTGCAGATCGACGTACGTCCCACACACATCTTTTCCCTCGAATCCCGCTGGGCTGCAATCACCGTCCGTGAATTGCCCAACCGCCTCTCGCGCGCGCCCAAAGCAGCATCCTCTCTTGTCTCCCGACACTCCGGACCCCAGGGACCGGCCCGGGCAGAGGAGCCTGTAAGAGATGATTGCACACATCACTTGTTGCAACACGCGCGCACAGCCCCTGCATTCGTCACTCCATTACACGGAAAGGAGGGAGTGCGTGCGTGCGTGCGTGCGTGCGTGCGTGCGTGTGTGTGTGTGCTGATCCTTACTACTCTTCCCCCCCCGCTCTGTACCCTTGCTCTACGAGTGAGCTGTTTGCTGGCCAGTGCTAACTGTTATATACAAAGCCAGCCCGGCAGCCCTGCAGCTAGTTTCCCGTCATGTCGGACTCTCAGTCTCCTCCTAAGGATGTCGAACAAGGTGCTCAGTCGCCTGAAGACGAAGGCCAGATGAACGAGCAAGACCCACAGTCTGCCGGCCCCGGCTACGAGTTCGAAGGTGTCAAGGAGCAGGACAGATGGTTGCCTATAGCGAACGGTACGCCTCCTACTTCCTCTGCTCTCCCTCCTCGCTCTCCTCTTCCCTTCCCTTTGCCTTGCCACACCCCCTCTTCCTCTTCGGATGGGCCCAGGACCCATTCAGCCCTGATCTGATCTGCTGCTCTGCCCGGAGTTACCCCTTCTCCTCTCTGCTATCTCTCTGCCCCCTCCGCATGGGCTGGGATCCAGAAAACAGCCTCGAGAGACACCGTGAGGAAGAGGCTGATTGCTGATGGATGTCTGTCTGCAGTGGCTAGGATTATGAAGAACGCTCTTCCGGAGAACGCCAAGATTGCCAAGGAAGCTAAGGAGTGCATGCAAGAGTGCGTTAGCGAATTCATCTCCTTCATCACAAGCGAGGCGTCGGAAAAGTGCCAGCAGGAGAAGCGCAAGACTGTCAACGGTGAAGACATTCTGTTTGCCATGACGTCACTGGGATTCGAGAACTATGCGGAGGCCCTCAAGATCTACCTGTCAAAGTATCGCGAGGTAAATATGCCGGGACTCCAGCGGTGAAGTGCTTGCGGAGGAAGAGGGCAAGACAAGAGACTGACAGAAATCTACAGCAACAGAGCCAGAGCAACCGTGAGCGAGTGATGGAAAACCCCGGATGGAGTAGCGGTATCGGCGACGAGAAGCTGGGCGAGGGTGCTGAGTACGGTGCGTCCGAGGGGCCTGGCGCTGTCGATGCCACCGGCGATGTCAGCTACATCTATGGCGGTGCGCAGGCTGGTCACGCCGACTCCGGTGCCGGCAACGGTTATTAGCGTCTGTTGATCTTCCAAGTCTCCTATCTCTCTTATTTTCAACTATTTCTGTCATATCGCGCGCTGGGCAGAGGGGCGGCAAGTCACGATGATGAGGTGAACAGAACGCCCCAGTGGTCGCCAGTCCTCTATAGGTGTCTGTCTTTCTCTTCTTCCTTCTCTCATACTCGCGTCTTTGGGGGTTTCACGGGGAATGAGATGACGGCAACGACGAGAAGGAACGCGAACGCAGGACGGGAGACACGGATCCCCCACCCAAGAACAACATCACATGAGCGAGAGTGGGAGGATAACAGATAACAGTGATGGGCGATGATGATGGGCGTACTAGGCACCTACTTCAGGATTAGATGGCCCTCCACTCTGTGGCATGGAACAGGCTTCCTGCCAGTGAGGAGACAACATGCTACTGTGAGTGGCTACGTCTGAATTTTAGCACTATTAATCTTGATACTTCATTCTTTCAACGCAGCCTTGTCTGAGTCATACAGTCGCGACGTGCCCCGGTACCGTGACCCAAGGGCCTATACAGAAAGAGCCATGTTCGGTACGATGGGAAGGCATGGATAACCTGTCCGAATGAATCGCTCAATGTGAGTAACGGTGAGCAGAGGCGGGACGGCAATAGCATATCATCATATAATCCGGCTGTTCATTCTGCGACTAAGAGGCAAAGCACGTGTGCAGACAGGTACGTTAGGCTGGTATGGAGCCTGTGTCACGTCGTTGATAGCGGGCAGCCGCTCTCAGGCTCTGGCCCCACAACATGTTAGAAGGGTCTTTCTAGTGCAATGCCCCTAAGCACCCTAAGCAAGGCCCCTACCGGCGGAAGGGCTTTGCTTGTTAGGCCTACCTACCGTCTACGCCACGGCAGGCAGGGCCCAGGGGAGGGTGCGCCGTGCGCCTTGCGGTCTTGGACATCAGATGTTGGAAGGGGGAAGGTTGAATGTTCAGAGGCTCAGAGCATGTTAGTTTCCCCGCTTCCAGTTTATAAGCGCCGACCCACTTTTCACCCCATGCAAAGGAAGAGGGAAGGAAAAAAAAAAAAGAAAAAAAAAAGCTGTCGTTCCCGCACAACATCACGCACGCTCCCATTCTTTTTTGATGCTTTTTTTTTTCTTCTCTTCATCATTACCTACCGGTTAATGCCCATCCCCTCTCACGCCACCCATCGACTGTCTGCTACACTCCATACGACGCGGTCGTGCTAGATAGCAAGATTGCATGGGAACCTCGACAACGTTTGTTGTCCCTTGCCAAGAATAGAACGACAGCAACATTCACGCAGCGGGGCGGCCACTTCAGTTATGACTGACAGGTTCTCTCGTGCCCTCGGTGAACAGAAGCAGCAGACACAGTCGATGACGGTAGACCGACGTACGACGCAGCCATCGTTCACGAACCGATCCCGATAGATACCCCTCGACTCTCCTACGCCTCTATAACATCCCAAGACTACGAAAGCGGCATCCATCCTCATGAGGCCCTTCGCGGTAACGACCAAGACCGGCGGCCCCCCCGCCGGCAGGGCCACGCCCGTCAAGTCCATCCTCAAACCCCCGTCCATTCTGGGTCGTAGGACGGCCGAAGATGCCGGCTTCGACGACGATCCTGAGACGATGGCAGCGGCATCATCGCCAAGCATGGAGAGCCCGACCAAGCGTCGAAAGGTTCTGTTCGACGAGGTGCACAACAAGACGTACGAGGTCGGCAACAGGACAATGGACGAGATCAAGCGCGAGGTGAGGGAAGCCCTGGAGGAGCACCGCCGGGGCAACGACGGGCCCTACGACAGCCTCAAGGAGCTCTTCTCCAACGACAGGCAGCGGTACCTGCCGCCCGTGGCGGGCGAGGACGACGACACGCTCAAGCCGCAGGAGCTGAGGGCGTACGTCATGGCCCTGACGAGCTGCATGCCCATGCTCAAGGACAAGGAGTGCAACGGCCTCGTCAAGACGATCCTCCAGTGCTCGTGGCTGGGACGCGATGACGAGTTCCTCCGCGTCTACACGTACTTTCTGGCCGCCCTCATCAGCGCGCAGGGTACGTACCTGCTGCCCGTGCTGTCCATGATGGTGGAGAACTTCAAGATCAGCCGATCCTCGGCCTGGACCGTGGCCGACTTCCCCAGCGTCAGCCGGGATGCCATGCGCGCCCGCCTGCACCGGGCTCTGCGCCACCTCCTCCAGATCTTCCCCGCCGCCGGCTCGGTGCTCGAGAGCCTCCTGGGGTCCAAGTTCCCGTTTCCTGACGATCCGCTGCGCACACACATGGCCTACGTCTACAACATCATCCGCGTGCAAGAGTACGCGCCCGCGCTGCGCGAGGAGGTCCTGGACCTCATCCTGGACCGCGTAGTCAAGCTCGACGCCCAGATGCAGCTGGACCTCGAGGACGTCGACGACGACCTGACGGCCGCTGTCATGTACTCGCTGCAGGAGAACGGCGGCGCGCGTGGCCCCGCCACGCAGTGGGAGGGGGACGAGGACGGCGGCGACGACGGCGACGACAGCGATGCCGAGTCCGTGGACAGCGACGACGTCGACTACGACGAGGAGGCGGCACGGATCAGGGCCATCAAGGACAACGTCGAGAAGATGGACGCCATGCTAGACACGCTCTTTGCGTACCACAGCGTCTCGATAACAGCGAACCCCGGTTCCGACCGGGCGTACGCGGCCTTCACGACGATCCTGCGCGAGTTCGAGCACCTGGTGCTACCGACGTACAAGTCGCGGCATACGCAGTTCCTGGCGTTCCACTTTGCGCAGATGCACGAGCGTCTGACGGACGCCTTCTGCGGGCAGATGATCCAGGTCGCGTTCGACCAGAACACGGCGGGGGTGGTGCGCCAGGCCTGCATCGCGTACCTGGCGAGCTTCGTGGCCCGCGGGGCGCACGTGCCGCGCAAGGACGTGCAGGAGATCTTCGAGCTCGTCGTGGTGCACATGAACCAGTACCGCGACCGGCACGAGGCGGCCTGCCGCGGACCCGACATCAAGCGGTTCGGCATCTTCTACACGCTCGCGCAGGCGGCCATGTACATCTTCTGCTTCCGATGGCAGGACCTGGTGGTGTCGGTGCCGGAGTCGGTGGAGCCGGATGACCCGACGTCGTATCTGGGCCAGGACCTGGAGTGGTACGGTACGACGCGGCGCGACCTGTCGATCCACATATTCGGCAAGTTCAACCCGCTCAAGGTGTGCGCGCCCGTCATCGTGGACGAGTTCGCCAAGCTGGCGCACCGGCTCAACTTTGCCTACGTGTACCCGCTCGTCGAGGCCAACAAGCGGCTCCGGCTGACGCAGTACGTGACGACGTCGTACGCCACCGGCGGCGCCCTGCGCGACGCCGGGGTGGACTCGTCGGGCGACGAGTCCCTGCACCGGCTCGACCCTTACTTCCCCTTCGACCCCTACCAGCTACCCGTCAGCAAGAGGTGGCTCGAGGGCGACTACGTCCACTGGAGGGCCCTCCCCGGGCTGAATGCCGAGGACGGCAGGGATGACAGCAGCGACGGCGACGGCGACGGCGGGGATGACGACGACGACGAGGACGACGCCGGGCTCGAGGAGGCCACGGCTACGGACAGCGAGGTGGACGGTGACGAATGATCTGTCACCTCCCCACCGTCTGGATCCATCTCCTGTCATCCTTCCGTCCATCTCACCATCCATCTCACCGTCCATCTCACCGTCCATCTCACCATCCATCTCACCATCCATCTCACCATCTCATCAATCCATCTGGTCCACCAAGGATATCGAGGATGAGGGATGTGCTTACATCTGTCTCTTATCTCCTTTACTTTATATGATGCTCACCCCTCGGGAGAGGTTCTGTCATGCTTTACAGCGAGGCGTTGGGAAAGAAAAACAAGAAGATATTGGAATCTTGCGCATATTTTCAAAGAGGTCGTGGAAAAGTCTTTAATAAACTATCTGAGTTTCTAATCCTTCATGGGATGGCCAAGAGATCAAGAGATGAACTGTGGCAAGGAAGGTGGATGCGAGTAATACTCCGTACCAGAAGTACGTATAGGGATAGACGACGTGTGTGGCGTCGTCTTGATAATATGTGGCGGTGCAGCTGATGAGATGGAGACCCATTGAGAGTATCTTATAACTTATCATTATATAATCCTCAACTTCCACCACAACAGTCGGACACAGTCGGACAATGATTCTTTTGACTGTATCGGTACGGAGTACAGATCTGTACATGAACGACGCCCACCACCTGTACGAGCGTCGAGCACAATTACGTACCACCCCTCCCCTCCCCCCCCCCCGGTAGCAAAACAGAAGACTCCAACTAATGAGAGGGTCCAGGTCTCCCGGGCGAGACTAAACTTGCACCGTCTGGGGTCAGCCTCGGATTGATTCCAAATGTTGCATGATTTGAAATCATACCATGAAAATAACCTCTTCTGAGCTCGGTAAGTGCATCCCTGGGCCACCGTTTCGAATTATTCTTGTCGAGAGGTGGGTGGATTCTTCTTCTTATTATTATCCTTTTTTTTTCTTTCTTTTTTTTCCTTTTTCCCTTTTTCACCTCCACATCCAGAAACTGAATCAATCCCAACAGCAGCAGCGACAATAACGACGACGAAGACGACGACAAAACGACGATACTATCATATACCCACAGAAAAATACCGAGACACACGAACACACGCAGCCCTGGGGAGGAGATCCCTGCCTACCGCCACATACATACACCGCACACACCCCTCTCACTTTCCGGAGATTCCCACCCCCCACAGCACATATGATGGCATCATCAACAATAGAGGCCGTTAGGCCTTCATTTTCCTCATTTTGGCGTCTGGGAACGAGTAAATTGAGAGGGGAGAGCAGTAGTGAATGTGAGTCTTTTTCTTCTCCATTTTTTTTCTCTCCTCACCCTTTTCTGCTCTGTCATCCGGAAGATTGTGTCCAATAATTCGGCGTTTATCGGAGAAGGGGTCGGAGGGGTCGGAGAGGGGAAGCGAATCGGCAGTAAGAGGTGACGGTGTGAGAAGAAGAAGAAGAAGTAGAAGAGAGAGAGATGGAGATGAAGAGAAGCAAGAACACATAACTGAGGCGACGAAAAAAAACAACAGCGCTAGGGGGACAAGCATCACCAGAGACGACGACGACGACGGCGGCGACGATGACGAGCACCAACAAGGACGACCATGAAGACCCGGCGACAAAGTCGAGACAGCAAAACCAGGCGCGGCGCGCTCAGGTGCGAAGCGCCCAGATCCGCCACCGCCAGCGCAAGGCCGACCACCAGCGCCAGCTGGAGCTCGACATGACCGAGTACCAGAGCCTGATAGCCCAGATCGAGGGCGAGACGGCCGTCCTCCGACGCCAGAACGCTGCCATGCGCGCCCAGCTCGACGCGGCCGGCATCTCCGTCGCAGCCCACGAGTGGTCTGGCAGCGTCGACAGTTCCGACGCCAGCGCCAGCGGTGACGAATACTACTCCGTCAGCGACGACGGCGCCGGCGCCTACCCGGAACTCTTCCCCTCCGTCGACATGGACCGTCTCACCGTCACGCTGGCCGTAGACGACACCATGGGCTCGCCGGCCCTGCAGATCAGCGGGAGGGGCAGCGGGAGCTCCAACTCGTCCAGCAGCAGCAGCAGCAGCAGCAGCAGCGGCAGCTCGTCTGCCTCGTACAGCCACCGTACGGGGACGAGCAGCGCCGCTACCAGCCCGCCTACAACCACCACATCTACCACGCTGACGACGTATCTCAACCCTGTGCAGGAGGAAGCTGCCGTCAACTTTATCCTGGCGTATGTTTCCTCTCCCCTCTCTCTTCCGTCTCACCTCCCCCCCCCCCCCCCCCCCCCCCCCCCCCCCTCCCACTATGATGGTGTGTAGGAAGAAGAGAAGAAGAGAAGAAGGAGAAGGAGAAGAACAAAGAACAAAACAAAAGGAAAACACCCCATAGCTGACCCCCTGACCTTAGGTTGGAACACGTCTGCTGGAGCCACTTTATGCTCGGCGACTTTCCCCACCATCACGACGGTGACGACCCTCACCATGATGACGTTCAGATCAAGCCCGACACCGTCGGACACGATGCCGACTCACGCGCCCCCCACGACGACGACTACGGTCACGCCCTGATGGCGTCGACGTATTGCATGGGCAACGCGCCCTCCCCCGTCTTCGACTACACCATGGAGGCCCTCTTCAACAACATCGACTTCAACCCGACCCCGACGCCCTCTTCGCCGCCGGCCATGGAGTGGCAGAGCCCGTCGTCGTCCATGACGCTCGCCAACCTCTTCGGCCTGGCCTCCTCGCTCAACCCGGGCGACGAGGACCTCACGCCCGTCCAGGCCTGGTTCGAGCTGGCGGACCGGTACAACCCCGCCGCCCTCATCGACTCGGGCATCCTCGAGTCGCTCAAGAGGGAGCTCAGGGGTGTGGTCCACTGCCTTTACTACGGAGCTGTCATGGAACGCGTGGCCTTTGAGAATGTCTTGTCTCGTGTCATGAAGGGGTTTGACGCATGCAGTCTGTGATGCTTCTTCCCGGGCTAGAAGAGAGGGGGAGTTCCCGAGATTCCCCTTTTTTCCCATTTTTTGTTTGTTTTTGGGACAGGGAGTTTTTGAAACATTATAATAATCGTCCTTCTTTTTTTCAAACTGTAGTATAATACATACAAAAAAAAAGGTGTGCAAGGCGCAGAAGCGTTTGGGTTTTTCTTGGAGATTTTTTTTCTGTTCTTTTTCAATATCTACAAGTTGCGTCTTTGCACGGGGGGGAAAAAGACATCACCCTCATGGTGCTCTCGCTATGCTTCGCTCATCAAAAAGGTCCTTTAACAACCCGTCCAGGCATGCCTCCCTGTCCACCGTACCCATAGAGTAGGTAGATTCAAACGCCGAGATGCTCAGCTGGCCGAAGAACGGCCTCAGCACCTTGGTCAGCAGCTCGTCCTTGCGTTCCAGTGAGACGTCGTCGGCGCTGATGGTGCCGCCGGGACCTAGGAGCGGGCGTCTGAGACCGTCGTCGTCGTCGACGACCGCTGCTGCTGCCGCCGAGGCCGACTTCGCGGCGGTGGGGATGGAGGTGGGGAGGGAAGTAGACGAGGTCAGCCACTGAGCTGCCGAGGAGGAGATGGTTGTGGTGTTGCCCAGCTCCTCGGACAGCTCGTCGACCAGGGCAACGGGCTGGGCGCTCGAGTAGCGGTAGACGGCGTCGATGGTGTCGGTGACGAAGAGCCACTCGTGCAGCTGGAAGTCGTCGGGGGCCACGCACACGAGCACGTCGAGGAGCTTGCAGGCCTGGAGGACGCTGGCGTTGTTATACGCACTGTCCGAGGCCGAGGCTGAGGATGACGATGACGTCGTCGTCGTCCTCGTCGTCGTCGGCACCACCGACGAGAGCACCTCCTGCAGCTCCGCGTTGACCTCGGGCCAGATGAGGGCCAGCTGTATCGGGCTCGTCTTGAGCACCAGCGCCCGCAGGACCATGTACACGTCGGCCCTGGTGGCCGAGGACGGCGAAGACGTCGGCGTGGCCCCCAGCAGCTCCACCAGCTTCTGGAAGATGGTGCCCAGGTCCGTCACGAAGGCGTCCTCAGGCGACGACACCACCAGGCTGGCGATGCGCCGCAGGTTGACCTGCGTCTTGCGGTCCGCCTCCAGCCGCGCCGACGTCGCCCCCACCCCGAACACTATCCCTGCCGTCGTCGGCGCGTTGATCCGCGATACCAGCTCCCCCATCTTCTCCTTGTCCGCCCGCGCCCACTGACGCAGCAGCGGCACCCATCCGTCCTTGACCAGCCCCAGCCCCATGCCGAAGAACCGCTGGTCGTTGAAGGCCTCGCCAATGTCCTTCTTCCACGTCTTCTGGTTGTTGGGCAGCCGCGACAGCTCGTGGAGCAGCGCCATTGTGCTCTGGCTGACCGTCTCCGGAAAGTTCTTGCTGCGTATTGTCGGCCCGATCACGTTGGTCGAGATCGTGCTCGCCGCCGAGAGCACACGGTCCGGCTCGACCAGCACCTTGTGCAGGTTGGGCACGATGGATGCCAGTATCGCCACCACGTCTTCTTGCCGCTCGCCAGTCCCCGGCGTACCGTTCGCCCCGGCTGCCTCTAGCGTTATCGGACGCGTAGTGAACAGCGCGGCGAGGAGCCGCAGGAAGAGATCCTGTTACCCGTGTTAGCCTGTCGTGGCCCGTTACGCGTCAGGTTTTGAGAAATCGAGGCCGTCTGCAACTTACCCCAAGCTCCCTGCGCATCCTCTTCTGTTCTCCAAAGTTGGTGTTATCCACCTTCTCCCCCAGAATCGCCGCAAACTCCAGCAGGCTATGCAGGTTCTGCCTGTGGGGGAACGGGTTGCTAAGCAGGTCCTTCAGGAAGACGATGCAGTCCTGCCAGATCTCATCCATAGCATCGTCATCCAGCGACCTGGTGTACTCGACCAGGAACACGACCAGGTTGTAGTCCTCGAGCGATATCGTCATCGTCGACTTGCGCGACGGTTCCAGCGCCCCAGGGTTCGTCCGGCTATATATCGAGTTGAACAGCGCCGGGATCGAGTGCCTCGGGCGGGATGCCTCCAGAGCTCCAAGCAGTTTGAACACCTCTGCCTTGGCTCGAGGGGTCTCCGTGTTTCGCCAGATGTCAATCGCTGTCTCCAGACATTCGAGGTTCTCCGCCGTGAAGAGGTGCTCGAGCAGCCGGCGTGCGCGGTTCCTCATCCTCAGCGACGTGTAGTGGAAGGAGGCCAGTGACTCGTCGTCCTGCTGTCGCGCCTCGTCGCCCAGTCCCCACGACCAGATCCTGTAGCACATGCGTGTCGCATCCTGGAATGCCAGGTGGACAGTCAGCCTATCGTTGGCCGTGGCGCTGCGCGCCTGCTGACCGTCGGTCTGGAAGACGCCCGACACCATGCTGCCGAAGAGGGACTGAGGGTGGTCGGGGGCCTTGATCAGCTGTGCCCTGGCTTCTTCGGCCAGGAGCTGGTCGTGCGCCCTAGCGAGGACGTGCTCCAGGCCGTTTAGCAGATGGATCAGGGTGGCCTCGGGCGAGGCTGAGTCGACGGTGGCATCCTGGGGTCTGGCCTGGAACGTGTTGCGCAGGTTGATAAAGGTGGCGCCGATCTGCCTGCACAATGTCTCCACTAGAGGAATCAGGACCTGGAAGATGGCGTCGGCGTAGAAGGGGAGGCAGTCGGTCAGGAAGGCCACCCAGCTGTCCAAGACCGGACGGCTGTTGGGGGAGCTCAGGGCTGCTAGCAGACACTTGAGTAGTTCTTGGGGAGGCGGCGTGAACATGGGTCGAGGATCGCTCATGGATAGTGACACCCGGCTTGTCCGAGCTGGGTCCATGCTGTGATTACGCTTCTCGGCCGGCACCTCCGACGGTGCGTCGGCGACCGTCGTGTCCCGGATCTTGAGAACGTCGTAGACGACGTCGAGCAGCAAGACTTGGACATGGGCATCGGTATGGCCAATCGACTTCCATAGCCTCCCGAGGAGGACAGTCTCCAGGTTGGAAATGGGCATATGATCTGGCACAGGCTGGTTTAGGAAGAACTGGTGCAGAATCACCAGGGCAAACCTGTGGAGCTGAGACACCCTCTTCCCGAGCTCGATGTCTGCGGACGTGGCTGGGTCTCCGGTAATGCACCTCACGCAGGCTCGGATAAAGAAGTCTTGGAGCGTCAACTCGTCTTCCTCTCCGCCGGCTGCTTACACGTCAGAAACTTTTGCCATCATCGAGCAATGAAATGCGTGTCACACTTACAGCTAATCTGGATGATCCGGCCAGCGAACGAGACGTGCTTTGAAGCGAGAATATTCCATGCCATATCACCGCCGATGCGGAGGACATTGGACAAACCTCGCAGGTAGTAGAGGCAGATATCCAGGTCATCATCCTCGGTAAGCGTGACAGGCTTAGGGGCCTGGTGGCCATCGTTCTGGCCTTCCTTCAGGTCTGCCAGGAACCCGAGCTCGGAAAGCTTGTGCACGAAAACGAGGAACAGCCTAGCACAAGTTAGTCACGACACGCCATTTAGATAGACGAGTGAATCGAGAAGACAGCTGTGCCGTACCTGTCAATGCCGACCATGTTAATCAGCCATGATTTGACAGTCATGTACTGTCGCGTCCTTTCGTCGACGAGAGCATCTAGCACTAGGAACAGAGGTCTCGTAAGCATCACTTCGAAATGGTCCATCCCTGCGAGGCGAGACGCAGCCCTGTTCTCCAGCGTGGTGGCCCTGGATCCGCGACGATCGGATGGGTTGTCCTGCAGAGTCAGGGACCAGAGAATCCCGAACGTATGCACGCTGTCGATCGAGCAGAGCCCATCGGAACACTCCGGGCCCTCTACCAGCAAGCTCGAGAGTGTGGCTTCGATATCACGGCTCGACAGGGTCAGGGACGTCTGCAGTTGCCATAGGCATCTGACAGTCTCGACATGATACTTGGGCTCTGGCGCAGAGAGGTAGGACCAAGCGTTTCGCACCAGCAGAGTGGCCAGATCAGACAGCTCGGTCGATTGGATCCTCTGCGTAGCGTGAAGTTCGGTGGCAAGCTGTACGATGGAGGAGAACTCGGGAAATGGTAGCGAGCTGGACACGTCCAGGCGGCCACGCACGAAGCCCATCAACTTTTCCACGTCGAGTCTGTATGTAGTGGGCATCTTGACCAAGGCGAGGATGAGGATGCGCGCCGATAGGTCGCCCTGGAGAGTGTCTGTGTGGATGAACTGAACGGCCTTCTGGAGTATCACCTCGCCCATCTCGAGAGGCTGGAAGGGAGCATCTGTCGTGTCCATGCTTCCCTGGTCGTTTACATAGAAATCTTGAATCTTCTTGAGTATGTCCTTGTTGGAGATCAAATCGGCTCGTTGAGATCTCCTCTTCTGGCTCGGCGTCGACGGCGCGTTAGGGAAAGCACGCGGGGGGACAAGCTCAAGGAAGGATATGGCAACCTCAAACGCCGGTCTAGAAATAGCCGAGACCCAGGGCTCGGGCATGGGCTGTGTCGCCCGGCGAGCCCCCAGGTCCTCAAGCATCGAGAGGGCAGCCAGGCATGACAGGGGTGCGTGGGTTGTTACCATCTCCTCCTCACGAACGTTGAAATTGGCAAGGACAAACTGAACCAGGGACAGCTTGTCCTTCCTCTCCTCGATACTCAGGTTACCAGGGCCAATGGCCTGTGCTAGCTGGGCGACGAGCTCGCCATAGATCAGGCCACTCTCGATGCCATCAAAGAAGACGCTGGCACTGCGAAGGACTTCTGCAAACTCGGCCTTAGACGATGCCTGTCTCCTGAAGCTTCGTACGTTCTCCACAACGGGGAGGAAGACTTCAGGAATCACGAGCCCGCCAATCTCCCATCGATCCATGAGGGAAAGGCAGATGCGGTACGGCCGGGCCCGTTCGGCAGCATTCTTGTTGTCGCTGGCCTTGATCATGGACAGAAGTGCCGCGGTCAGGGGCTGCAGTCCGTACTCCTCGAAGTAGCTCGTCCGTGCCGTCACATATGAGCTCTGTTGGTCGGCGGATTCTCTGGGCGACTCGGACCCGGCGTCCTGGTCGCCGGCAGCAGGTTCGGGACCTAGGAACCAGGCCCAAAGTCGACGGTTCAGACTCATGTCACGGCGGATGACGACGCCGACGGCCGCTTTCATGAGTAACTGGAGGTCCTCGGGCTTGACCCTCGACTGCAGCACGTCTGAGCTGAGAGGCAGGTGCGTTACCAGAAGGTCCAGGAAACCTCTCTGGTTCAGCAACTGCTCGTCGGACAGACCACTAGCGAAGCAGCGGATCAGAAGTCCAGGCTCCGGCGAGGTCACGACTGCCGAGACCCTCTCGCTCGGTTGGTTCGCGGCAGCTTTGCCGCCACCTGCCGGTGCGGCTGCAGCCTGAGGAGGCAAGCACCTGACCAGATATGCCAGAGCTCCGGGTCGGCGTCCAGGGCTGGTGATAGAGGCGAGGAAGAAGCATTGCCAGAAATAGTCGTCGCCGGTGGCGTGTTCCTCTGTGAGGAGCTCGCTGTCAGAGGTCCGGATCGTCTCCTTGAAGCTCGTAACCAGCCTCAAAGTTCGATCAAAGTCCTCGGCTGACTCATCTTCCAGACCCGGGATCAGGGCCAGAATTATGGACTTCATGCCCGGTCTGAGAGCGCGTGGGTCGAGCTTGAGGAAGTATTTTTCCAACAGGTCCAGGTACGGAGAGCGGACCGAGAGGGAGGCGAACGACAAGACCGATGCGAGGCCGGGGAGGTACAGGGGAAGGTCCCTAGACAGCCCGTCTGTTCCGATCGTCTCGAACACGTAGCTGTATATTTCCAGGGCCTTTTGGTGTACGCCGGACGGCAGCGAAGGGTTCAGGCATTGCGATAGGCGCTTCGCGACGGTTGCTCGGGTCGGTATGACGGTAATGTCGGAGGGTCGGGATTGGAGGGCCTAGAGCGAATGCGCAAGCACGTCAGGAGCACGATACGTAGACAGACAACACTGCCGCATGGACTCATCCTCCGGGCGAGCGAACCTTGAGCAGTCTGTTAAGGAAGGATATGTAGTCGGCCCATTCTTCGAGGGCTGTCTCGAACAGCGCCAAGGCCTTGTCGACGGCGGCAGCGTACCGGCGAAATGCTTTGTCCTTGAGCAGGCGTTCCTCTAGCGGAGCAAGAAAAGCACAGGTCAGCCTCTCCCTCTATCCAGGGAGGATGGACACGGACACAGGATGAGGGCACACATACCTCTGCCGCTCAGCTGCGCCCTCCATTGCTTGGGAATAGGCGAGTCGCGGCCAGAGCTGTCGGGGGACCCCGACCGCGGGACAGATGCTAGATCAGGTGCCATTGTTGCGCGGCGCAGCGTTGGCGTCTAGCCCATGAGCATGCTTCGTTGTAGTGTAATGGTCCCGTAAGTCGTCGCGGACGGGAGGTTGTCGAGAGTCGAGACAAATCGAGGCCATCGATACACGTGCTCGGGGAATAGCAACGGCGTGAGGCTACGTTTCGCTCCGTGCGCATCTCTCTGTAATGGAGCTTGCCAGCGGCGTACGTCAGAAGGGGCAGCCGTCTGGCTTTCAGGGGATCTGGGCTGCTGGCCATTGGCTGTAGCGGTCCATCCGGCGCCCCTCAGCGCTCAGAGCCTCTTCCCCCCTCCCCCCTCCCCCCCGTTTAGCGGCCTCCAGCGGATAGGTGGATGCATGGACGTACGTAACCCGCACCTACAGCGGTTCTTGAGGTCTATCCGCGTTGGGGACGTGTGTGGCTAGTGACGCCTTGGGTGCTCCAACGCCAGAGTTGATTACCGCCGTTCGTGGCGCCAGGTTATGACCGCCATCTACACGCGCGACACCATCCCACTACATCTTTCCCCGGCCCACGCCCAGCCTCCCTTTTTTCATATCACCGGGCGAACGTGGTGTGGTAGTGGCATGATGGCCATTTCCGTCTTCCATCGACGTCGACCAGAGGATCTCACGGTCCCACTGCCCCCGACCAGACTATCGAGCTGAAGCTGCCATGCGCCCGCACTCAGTAGCTGCCTGATAAAATGCCCACCACCACCACCACCATGGACCAAGAGCCCGACCCCGGTGAGCGGCGCCCCCCGTTGCCTCCCAGACCACCCGCCGCCGCTTCTCCGGATTTCGTGGGGCTCCAGGGGCAGGCCACGACTGCGGTCACGTCCTTGGATATCCAGACGCTGTCCTTTCCCGACGGCTCTCGAGGCATCTTCTCCTCCCCGGGCCCGGGAAGTCCCTTGGCCAGCGGGTACGCTTCGCCCGACGACCGCAGGTCGAGTCCGGGGATCCCAAGCAACGACCTGGATAACGATGACGCAGCGAGCGTCACCAGCCTGGCGCCAACTATGCGCCCGGCCGCAGACATTGCCAGCTTGCTCGCTGGAGAGCTGCACAAGAAGAGTCCGGCCTGGAGCATGCTGCGAACACAATCGGCCGCTGTCGCTCCGTTCGAGCTCCGCACCTCCAGCGGTCATGATCGGCTGTCCGCCTTCCACGACGAGTTTACGCCCCTTCCCGACGACGAGGATGGGAAAGTGGAAGATACCGAGAAGCTGGCGCGCTGGAAGGCCAAGCTGAAGCACTACATGATTCTGTCTGCGGCGGGGAAGCCCATCTGGAGTCGGCACGGCGACCTTGGCCTCATCAACTCGTCGATAGGCGTCGTTCAGACCATCATATCCTTCTACGAGGGGGCCAAGAACCCTCTTCAAGGATTCACGGCAGGCGGCACTCGCTTCGTCGTATCTACCCATGGCCCGCTCTACTTCGTGGCCATCAGCAAACTCGGAGAGAGCGACTCGCAACTCCGGTCCCAGCTCGAGGCGCTGTACATGCAGGTTCTCTCGACTCTCACGCTTCCAGCCCTGACAAACATATTTGCCAACCGGCCGTCCAGCGACCTGCGCAAGCCCTTGGAGGGAACCCAGTCCTTGCTCTCATCGCTAGCAGACAACTTTACCAAAGGCTCCCCGTCGACGCTCCTTAGCTCATTGGAGTGTCTAAGACTCCGCAAGTCACAAAGACATGCCATCAACAACACATTCTTGAAGCAGCGAACGGGGAAGCTCCTGTACGGGCTCATCGTAGCTGGCGGGAAGCTAGTCAGCGTCATCCGCCCCCGGCGGCATTCGCTCCATCCCAGTGACCTCCAGCTCATCTTCAATATGCTCTTCGAGACCGAGGGCATCCGCAGCGGTGGCGGCGAGAACTGGGTCCCCATCTGTCTCCCGGCCTTCAACAACAGAGGCTATCTGTACATGTATGTCAGTTTCCTCGACGAGAACATGACGAACGAACGGCAGGACGGCGGTGCACAAGACATGCCCAGGCAACAGTCTCCGGAGGACGAAGTTGCCGTCGTCCTCATCAGTACCGATCGGGAGGGCTTCTATGACCTCCAGCAGATGCGGGATGCCGTCACCCACCAGCTATCCAGGAACGGGGGGCTCCGCATCATACAGGAGGCCGTCCGTGCCGGACGCCCCAAGCTGCCCCTCATTGCGCCGGGGGCGCAAGTAAGCCATTTCCTGTACAAGTCCAGAGCAAACGTGCAGTTCTGCATGGCCTCTCTCGAGCCTCACTTCACCGGCCTTGTCCGGCGCCGGAGACTCATGTCTGTCTACCACGAGCTCCACGCGTCAGTCCACGCCAAGCATTCACATCTCAAGGTGCTTCACCGCGTCGCCGAGGACGTCACCTCTCTGGCGTGGGTCACGCCAGTATTCGAGTTCTACTGCGTTGCGGGCCCCAACGTCTCGAGAGCGGCTATAACACAGGGCGCCAACAAGATCATCCAATGGGCCAAGAAAGAGGAGGAACGGCTGTTCATCATCGGCGGCGGCGTTTTCTAGAAGCATGCAAGGACGCCTGGAAAACGTTGGATGCCCGGTTTCAAGAACTGAGCCTCATCCGTGCCACTATTCCGATGCCTGCATTGGGCACGAACACGGAGATCATGACGGGCAGCAGTGCAGAGTGCCCGCAGTACCGTCATACGGTGCCTTCCTGTTCTTGGGCCTAGTCCCAGGGCCTTCCTTCCAAATCAAGACTTCGAGCCTGCCCCAGGTGCAGCTCGGATTCCCTTCCTCCAAGCCCGGGATACCTCTCTGTCTCCCCTACCTATGCATTGATCTCACCCCGACCAAGCCCTCCTGCCTCGGCAACGCCCATCCTTATCCGCAAGACCCGAGACGCCGTTCCTGCAACCAGCCAGGCGCCCTCTGAGGAGCCGGATACGGCGTGCACGGTCATACCAGCTGTCGGAAACATAATAGTCACCAGTATCAAGTCCGAGTTTATCTACTAGACGCGCACCTTAGTCCCCGTTGCATCTGGCGGTCATGGACCATTATTGGAACGGTATGGCGAGGCCTGGCATAGCACGCTGTCGTCCGGATGCATCTGACCCAGCATATGGAAACGACACTGCCGACATCGGCAGCTCTCTTCTCCGCTCGCCGAGCTCTCTCGAAGGCATGCTGAGGACGAGCACGGAAACGGGAGACATCGGCCTCTTCACCATCGAGCCGGCCTACAGCTCTGTGCCTTGTCGTCGTCGGCGCCAGCGGAGCTCAGAGTCGGTCACCGATTCCGACATTCTCCAAGCCAGTCGTCTGCGGCACCACCCAACAAGCAAGCTCCTGGCTCGCAGGGGAGCGTCTCCTTCTGAGCTTGGCCATCTTCGCACCTCGGTATTCAGATATTCTGCTCGGCCGTCGGACCCGTTGCGACCCGGTACAGGCTCCTCTCATCCTTCGACAGGACGCACTTCTCCAAGCATACACTACAATGGCTATACCAGACTTCCACCTTCCAGGCTACCTGCCCCTCCGCGATCATCGGCACGCATCACACCGTTGCGTGACGAATGGGGGAGCCGCGTGTACCGAGACGGACCCCCTACACCAGACCACAATGGCAGGCCCGGCTACTCCCGGACAGGGAACTCTCCTCTCCTAGAGCAACAGGACCGAGGGACGCAGGCCCGATCTCTCGGCGACCCCGAGCTCGGGGACTCGAGCGGGAAACACCAGAAGAGGTATGCTCTCATCATCAGCCGCAGGCGTTGGGTCTCCGTTGGCCAGAAAAGGGTAGTAATGCGGTGATGCGAGACAGGAATGGTCGTCATCCGGCGCAGATACCCACCGAGAGATCCTCCAAATACAGAGCTGTGCCGCCAATCACCAGCAGGCACAGAGGCCACCTCGAAACAACGCGCAGGTGGTTGTCAGCAGGCCCTGCTCTTCCCGACCTCGCCACCCTATTCAACTCGATGGGCCGCATGGACCCTACCGCCAGTCAGCCCGGAACGCCTTGCACCAGCAGACTCTGCGTGAGCCTGGAGGTGCCTGCGGCCCAGCCAGATACTCCCGTCATCTCTCCCAGTCCCGTCTCCCCGACACGGGACCTTGGAGTAAGGCACGGTCTCGACCGATTCACCAAGCTACTCCCTTCTCCTCTGGAGGATCATGGACCGACGGTGGGACAGGTCCGCAACGGGAGCTGCAACTACGACCTTGGTACATTCAACGACGATGGCGGCCATGCATCGATCGACAGGCCCGACGAGATGTGCACGTCTTACCAAGCTGCGCAGATATCTGAACGGCCAGCGAGATTGCGTATCAGGAGACGACCCTCGGTACCAACCGGTCACGTTGTGGACCCGACGAAAAGCTATCATGGCACGGCACACCTTCCCAGCAGAAGAAGCAAAGGCCAGGCGCAGCACAAGCTCAGGCTGAAGATGCCCCAGAATGACGGCAAACCATGCCGTGTCGCTCCGCAAGGAACTGTGGTCCACTGCCCAGCCTTGAGAGGCAGCAGCAGATCATGTCCGTATATCGGCGGCGGTACACCAGGTGACATGTCGACCCCTCCTATCTTCGCCGAGGAAGACGTGCCACGGAGGCAGGACTGGATCCGCCCGAGAAGATGGAAGGGGAGGCCTAGCCTTGATGTATTGAAAGCCTTCGACCCTCCATATCAAGCCTCCATCCGTCCTCGTCGCTCCCGGGCATCTGGTCTCCGGGGGGCGTGGGATCCGGCTGGAGGCGGACCGGAAACGTGCCCATACGGAGGCGAGAAGAGACATGGGCTTCGACGGAAGCTGTCAACCCTCGGACTTGGACGCACGAAGGCGCAGGAAGCTCCGAGCTGGTCGGGGCAGCCCACGAGCACAAGCCGCGCAGCTGGAACCCCAGGCTCCCCAGGCTCCCCAGCCGATCAAGGGGCGGCGGCGAAAGCGGACCATCGAACCATCTCATTCTACAGCCGTCGAGTTCGCAGGTGGGCGTCCAGGGCGAGAATCGGGATGCGTTCATGCGCGGGGAGGAGGAGGGGGAGGAGGACGCAAGGCAGCGGGCTGCAAGACGAGGTTCTCAGCTGAAAAAGAAGAGATGGGGACGGTATCTCAGCTCAGCAGGGATATCTCTCGTCTCGTTGCAGAAATGACAGGTCTCGGGAGAGCGCGGACAGCTACTGGACGTCTCGCGGGTATAACCGCTAGGTGATGGCCGGTGATGTTGGGTGAGATACGGCGGCTGTGGCTGTGATGAGCTGAGAAGAGACGTGGGAGGATGAAGAGGTGAGCAAGGTCTATTGATCATGGTTATGACCTACAGAGTCCAGACAGGGGTGCGACCGACGGCGGATCGACCCGGGTTGGCCAGCACACGTACAGGAGGGTATCGTCACCTATATCTGCCGGGAGTAATCTGTACGGATTACGGGGTACTGTTATCATTAATGGACAGCAAATACGAGGACGATGCAGCATGACCTGGGACTCCAAAGCACAGCGCATTGAACGTCGAACTGCATCCATGTACGAGCACGTACTCTGTACGCCTGTGCACGAGTATTCACTGTGCAGTGCAGTATTGTATGCAGCGGGGCGAGGACGGTTATAGGCCCCTGGAATCACGAACAGTATCAATGCCTATACTTCTCGTACTATGCGTTTCTGTTCCGCAGAGCAACATGATTGTGGTGGCGTAATTTCCAGTCTTTTTTTTTTTCTTTTTTTTTCTTCTTTTTCTTGGTCACTTTCTTCTTTCCTCCTCTTCATCAGACGGGTTCTTTTGAAGGAGAAGGAGAAGGAGCAGATCAGCAGCAGAGAAGAGGAAAGGAGCGGACGGGGCAGCACAGATCTGTCATCTGTACAGATTGCATACAATAATGAAGGGGAGGATACGGCCGGTCAGTGGCAGAGATCTATTATTAGCAACCAACAAAAAAAAAAAAAAGATGATGAATGCTAGCAGCGATAATCTGTACTCTGCAATCCGTACACAGGTCAACTCGCTCGCTGTGCAGTGCAGTACCGGCAAGTATGACGAGTACAGGTAACCTGTGCAGGTTGCAGATTACCGCTACCTGTCTCCCTCCGTCCGAAGGCGTGGAGCCACTACAGGTTGATACTCCGTGATGGTGCTGGCATAATGATACGGATCATACAGAGGAAGAAAAAAATCACTACCTGTACGGATCGACGCTCTCACGTCGTAGGCCTCGGTAGCGTGCGGCAGCGTGCGGTCGTGCGCGCAGACGCGTATCAGCCGGTCGGGTACCTCGCCCGTACCCATGCGTACTCGTGCTGATGCTGCTGCTGCTACTACTACTACTACTACTACTACTACTGCTACTACTACTACTACTACTGCTACTACTACTACTACTACTGCTACTACTACTACTACTACTACTACTACTACTACTACTACTACTACTACTACTGCTACTACTACTGGCCTTCTCTGTAACCTGTACAGGTTACAGAAGTGGAGATTACAGGTTAGACCGCCTGCAATCATCTGTACAGTGTTGCTATTAAAAGTAAGAGGGGACTGATTACATTGCCGGGCTAAGAACAATGCTACGGAGTATTATTGGTAATGATAGTACTGGCAGCACTATTCGCACTATCCGCACTATTCGCACTATCCGCACTATTCGTACTATTCGCACTACTCGCACTACTCGCACTACTCGCACTATTCGCACTATCCGCACCATCAGAGCACTATCAGAGCACTGTCGGCACTATCAGCAGTGATAGTCGTAGATTGTATATTATCACACTGCCGCAGTGATGGAGAGAGGACCGATGGACCGGAGCAGTCGTCTGTGCGGCAAGGGCAGAGGGGAGAGAGAGATAGATGTCTGTGCTTCGTGATGGCTCGTATAGCAGCTGCGCCTAACATGTGCGTATTCGCATCCATTACCTGTAAATATGCGATTATACATGCGTGCCTGTACATCGGCAGTGATAGAGTAGTGATTTTCCCCCGAACCTCGTCGGCGCCCCATCACGACGAGACGCGCACAGTATCCTCACTTGTTTTTATCCGCATCTCTATTAAATTTATAAAAAAAATTTATAAAAAAAATTTATAAAAAAAATTCATACCTCATCATCTTAAACTTTCTTCCTCTCATTTCCTCTCTTTCGTCTATTGCGCGTTGTATGCAAGTTGTGGTGAACGACGCAATCTTACTGTTTCTTTTTTATTCTATTTTTATTTTATTCACTTTTTTTTTTCCCCCTTCTCCCCAATCAAGCTGTGGGGGGGGGGGTGTTTGTTTGCCACGGCATCATCGCTCCTTTTACTGCAATCGTGACAATCACCCTACAGTAGGCCGTCGCTCTCTGTCTCTGTCCCTATCCCTGTCGCTGTCTATCTCTCTCTCTCTCTCTCTCTTTTCTCTTTCTCTCTCTCTCTCTCTCTCTCTCTCTCGCTCTCTCTATCTCTCTCTTTCTCTGCATCTCCCGATATTCGTCCCTGCCAAGGCAGTGGCAGTGTCGGTCACACCGCGTGAGCTGTTGGCAATCATCAATTACTGCCTTGCAGCATCATCATCAGCCATTCCAACCGCCCAACGTCGCTGCTGTTTCCAACTCTTGTTCTTTTCTTCTTCTTTTTTTTTTTTTTTTGCCTTATTTCTTTCTCTCCTTACTTCTTTCTCTATCCTCTCATCCACTCCTTCTCCCACTCTGCCATCATCAGACTCGGGATAGCTGCCATGGGATTACATCACACAACGCCCACTTGGTGACGGACAAACGGCACGTCACGCCACGCCACGGCAGAATGGCCGACGATGACGACGACACCGTCATCCGTCATGGACCCCTTGACGATAAACCGTCCTTTGACAGACTACCGGACGATATAATCGAACAGTGCGTTCCTCCTCTCCTCCGTCTCCTTCCCACCAGCTCATTCTCTCCCCACCTGCCACGTCTTGCTCGTATGGTGGTGGGTGGGTGGTGGTGCATCGCATCGAACCTGCCATCTCCCGTTCGCACTTGCTGACACCGCCCGTTGCGTCCTCCAGAATCCTCACCGTCGCCGACGCAAACGCCTTTGCCTCCCTCGTCTTCCTGAACCGCAAGTGGCACTCCGTCTCTCAACGGTCACACCTCTACCTACACCAGCTCCGACAGTGCTCGTCCGCGCCCCCTGACCCCTCGCCTCCGAGGCCCGAGGCCGATCAGCTCCCCCGCCTCCGCCGGCTCTTTGCACGCCAGGTCAAGCGTAACCTGTTCGACGCCTACTTGCGCCCGCGTAAGACCGTCATCAAGCTCGTGTCGACCTCCATCAGCCCCTCGTCATGTCCCGTCGGCGAGGGCATGCAGTTCAGCGCCTCGCCGCGTGCGCAGCTCATGCTGGCCTACAACTCGTCCCGCATCCACGTCCTCGACGTCCGGGGGGGTGGCGTCCAGGTGAAGCGCGAGTTCAAGATCCGCAGGCGACCCGTTGCCGTCTGCATCAAGGACGATGCATCGCTCCTGGCCATCCTCTCGTCCGAGATGCAGGTCGACATCCACGACCTGACCACGTCGCCGCCGACCCGAAAGCAATCCATCGTCCTAGACAACGCACCGCGCACCATTGCCCTGTCGCCCTGCGGCTCGGTCCTCGCTGCTGCCTACGAGGCAGGCATCGAGGTCTCCTCGCTCAACCCTGGGGCCCTTCCCTCGGAGAAGCGCTCCGTCAAGTGCGATCCCGTCGACTCCCTCGCCTTTTCCTACGATGGAACGCAGATTCTCGGCACGACGACGTACTCGTCCCCTCCGAGCACAGTCGTCCTGACGGCCCCTTACTACGATCCCGAAAACCTGTCGGCCGGCGACAACATCGGTTCCATGTGGACCACGTCCATCCTCTTTCCCAACTCTAGCCGCGACTGCAGCCACGCCGTCCTGCTTCAGGATGGCAGTCAGGACGAGGCCAGCTGGACCTTTGCCTACGACCGGAGCTTCGAGACATTCCGCGCCGTCTGCGTCGACGACCTACGTAACGGCACCACCTACTTCACAGGGCCCGTTCCCGAGCCGGCGCCCCAGACCGCGCCCCAAGCCAAGATGCTCCCGTCCACGCTCTCGGGCGCCAACTACGCCGGAGACCTGGTCGCAGCCGGCTTCCACGGGAAGGAGATCTGGCTGTACGGCATCCCCGAAGACCTGGACGCTGTCCCCGATACCGGCCAGCTCGCCCCAGACAAGAGGAGCAGCACGCACAGCGCGCTCGGACAGCACGGGGGCGAGCCGAGCGGCGGGTCGCGGGACTCATCCTCCGCGGGACGGGATGCCGACGGTGGACAGTGCGTCCCCCAGTGGCAGCTCCTATGCGACAGGCTGCGAAACACGCTGCTCCCCGGCTCGATGATTGCCGAGCTGGCCGGCGTGAGCACTGTCAGGTGGGTCGCCCACTTCGGCGACTCTCCGCTCAAGGAGCGCCTGGTCGTGACCGCAACCGGCGTGAACGGCCCCAGGCTCGTCACCGACGAGGAGGGCTTTGACTTCGTCGACGGCGGGAGGATCGCCCTGCTGGACTTCGACTACTCCCTCGAGAATGGCGGGGAGACGGAGATGGCCATCGAGGTCGGCACGGACGAAGCCGAAACGTTGGAGGAGGAGCGCCGAGACATGGAGACCGAGGTGGCCATTGTACGCCGCCGCACCGTGGCCCGGAGCCGAGGCGGCGGCAGCGCACTCCTCCGAGCGGCGGCATCGGTCCAGGATCTGAACGAGCCTGTCCCTGCGCTTCCGGGAGTCGCCGTGGAAGACGAAGACGAGGACGGCCCCCCTGTGCTGCCGACGCGGGACGGGAAGAGCGCGGCCATCATGACGATTCCGGCACCGATCGGCCTCGACGACGTCCCCGACCAGGTCACGATGGAGGAGCAGGAGGCCATGGACGCACCCTACACGCATGCCAGCCCGCGGTCCGCCCCGACCCTCCGACGTGCTGCCACGGCCGCGGCCATGAGCCAGAGGCAACGGCAGTCCAGGCTCGCTGGCGGCCGGCCCATCGAGTACAACCGCGCCGACGGACGCCGAGAGCACCCCCACGAGAGCGACGCCGACAACTGGGAACCACCGCCACCTCCTTACCAGAAAGAAGACCCTGGCGACCTTCCGGCCTTTCTACGCGGCCCCGCAGTCGCCCCACTGGGCCTGCTCCCCATCCAGCCATCGACGTCTCCGCCGGTAGTAGGTGGAGGCCCCACGGCAGGCGCGTCCGACGATCTGGCACCGCCTGCCACGGATCGCCCACCGTACCGGAGGGCTGCGAGTGATTCAGCGACAGCGACCCAGGCACAGCCGCAGGAACCTTCCTCGCCGAGGCCCATCCCTTCCGAAGCTGCGGATGCGGACGAGTTGTATGACGCGTCACCTCGGCAGTCGCTAGACGAAGCTGGAGGGGGCGTAGAGGCACCTCCTCAGGAAGAGGCTCAGGCATCTTCGCTCCCGAGAGCGGCGACGCCACAGGATGCGGTACCATCTCCGACCTCGAGGGTTGCAACGCCTCGGGATCCGGCACCGCCGTCATCAGCATCGTCCGACGGGATGCTATGCTCGGAGCCTGCCGCTGTCGCTTTGTCATCAGTACAGCCGGAGCCCAGCATTCCAGCGTCTCAGACAATGTCACAGGACACGCTCGACCCGGTCGGTACGCAGGGGCAGCCGGGGGCAAGGCGGCTGTCGGATCCTCCAGCGTGGCCTCTCGCACCCGTACCGGACAACGTCGATCACCCCACGATGCTTCCACAGGATGTGCCCCGTCCGGCGCCCGTAGCCGACCGACCCATTGACGAATCACTGCCTCCAGCACCCAGCAGCAGCCAGATCGCGAGCCTCAACAAGAGAGTCAGCAGGGGCAACCCCAACCGACTGTCCGGCAGCTACCGTGGCTCCTCGCTGTTCTCGGGTGGCCACGGATGGATACCGCCCTCGAAGCGGCCTGCCCGGACGCAATCCGGCAGTCTGTGGAACTTTGATGCGGAGCAGCCCCTCATCATCAGCACGCCCAAAGGTGTCGAGGGCTCGTTCGATTCGCTGCCCGGCAAGTCCAAGCCGGCGGCGGCCGACAAGACCGCGACGGAAACGCCCCTGGTCGCCCCCGTCCCCCGACATCCCATCAGAGGGCACGTGCTAGACCCGGAGTCGTCGGGCGAGCGCCTCGAGACGATCTACAGCAACACGGTCCCGCAGCAGCCCGACCATCAGCAGCCCGACCAGGAGCAGCCCGACCAGGAGCAGCCCGACCCGCAGCAGCCGGTCCCGCCGCGGCTGTCACGCGGTGCCAGGAATCGCAACAGCATCATGGCCGGCGGCAGGACGGCGCGCAAGTTCCTCAAGCTCTGGCGCCAACCATCCACGTCGTCGACGGGAGCGGTGCGTCTCAGCAGGAAGCCCAGCCGAGCGAGTCGAAGTGCGGCCAGGAACGTCGAGAAGGCCAGGAACCGCGGATGGGTGCCCCGGACGGCCAAGACTCGCCCCTCCCTCTCGAGGGGCAGGATGAGGGACGACGGCGACGGCAACGGCGATGGCTCGATGGCCGCCGACACGGGCATGTCGAATAGCATACAGTGGATGAGCGTCTCGGCCCCCGAGGAGCATGAGGACCCGACGCTCAAGAAGTGCACTGTCATGTAGCCTGCTCCTCTGTTCCCTGCCGTATCTTGGCCTCGCATCCTTGCCGTTGACGTTTCTCCCTCTCTGTCTCTCTGGGTTGCTTACCCTCCATTCACTCACTCACTTTTCTCTCTCTCTCTCTCTCTCTCATATATATATATATATATACAAATCTTCCCATCATTCTCTTCCACACCACTTTTTTTTTTCCTTTGCGCTCTCACGCCACTCATGCTGTCTTTTCTTTCCATTTGTTTCTGTCCTTTCTTTTTTCTTTCCTGTCGGTTTCTTTTTTTTTTTGCCCCCTCTTTTTCTTATATGTATTGAAAAGGCAAAAGAAGAAGAGAAAAAGAAGGTGGAATCTACATAGCGTGGCATCATTTTCGCTTCTAGTTATTCTACTACATGTTCCTGAGAAATCCCGTGCTGTATACGGGGAGGGTTATAATCTTTATCTACATGTCTATACTCGTGTTTTAGTATAGGAGATTGTTCAAAGGAAAAGTATAGTTTTTATATATTGTTAATGTTATTATATCGCTAGTCTCTTATATATGGCCTTGCTGTTGGAATTTATTTTCCCTTTTTTTGGAGTGAGACGGATTGAAGGATGACTTATTTTATCAACAAGATAGATGTATGAAAAGGATGATTACTCATCCTGAACAATATCTATAAAAAAAATAGGAAGAGGAAGAGAACAAAACATGACTCGTTCTAGTTGAAAACAAGAAAAAAAAAGAAGACAAAGAAAAACGACGATTGTAGCTGCGCAACGCCTGCCCGTGAATGAATGATGGCTCGGTGAGGTTGTAGAGATCAATACTCCCGTACATTCACCCGAATTAGACTCCCCAAGTGAATGCTGACAAAAAGAAATCTAGATGGGGGGGTGGGAGGAAAAAAGGGGGTATGTATGGACCAGATGACAGAACAAGAGAGACAGAAGAAGAAGGGAAAATAGAATAACAAGAGAGAGAGAGAGAGAGAGAGAGAAAGGTATGGGGAGAGAAGAAGAAGAGGAAGAAGAAAATCCCATCACAACCTAGGTGTCTTCCCAGTAGGAACAAAGGGTTTACCATTCTGGACGTCCCCCAGATCAGCCTGCCTCATGAGGATGGAGAAGCGAGTCTCTCTCGAAAGGGAGCGAGAGTGGGCGTGGGCGTGAGCGGCGCTGGGATCCCTGCCGGACCCGCCGCCTCCGGCAGCAGCATAGTCCTCCTCCCCGTGCGCGGTAAAGGGGTCGGCAAAGATGTTGAGGTACCCCTGACCCTGCGTCTGCGACGCGGCGGAGTCCCGCAAGCCGCGTCCGGGGACGGCAAGCTCCGGCCTGAGATGGCTGCTCTTGGCGCGGACCTTGTGACCGGAGGCCTTCATGGACCGGATAGGTGGTAGACGGGCGCCGACGCTACGCAAGGTGACGGTGTCGTCGTCGTCGTTGCTGTTGTTGTTGTTTCTGCTGCTGCTGCTGCTGCTGCTGTTGTTGTTGTTAAAGTAGCTGACGTTTCCGTCACCAAAGGAGGCAAAGGACTCGGCGACGGACGGATTGGGCGATACCTCTGAGGCGAAGCGGTTAGGGATGGATAGTCGATTGTTGCTGTTGTTGTTGTTGTTGTTGTTATCGTGATTGTTGTGAGCGGTGGCGGTGATGGTGGTGTGGCTGCCACGACCAAAGAAACCTCGGATGGGGGGGCCCTGGGCTTGATCGCGGTCGTGATGGGCGGAGTCGGCGCTGCTTCCGGGTCTGCGCAGCATAAACTCGCTGCGGTACGTGTCGGGCTTGGTGATGGGTTCGGATATGTTACGTCCGTGGACCATGTCCGGTTCCCGGCCGGCTCGACGCTTGGCCCTCCTGCGCAGACAGACGAAGACGGAGACGGAGACGAGGAGGAGGGCAGCGCAGGCGCCCACCACTCCGCCTATGATGGCGGTGGTATCGGGACCTGACGGGTCGGAGCCGGAGCCGGAGCCGGAGTCGGAGTCGGAATCCTGGCCCGGGTCTGCCGTTCCCGTGACGGACGAGGCTTGGGTCTCGGTCGGACCGGTGGAGGGGGAAGAAGTGTCGTCGGTCGCGGTCGCGGTGGCAGTTGCCGATCCCGCCGTCGAGGGCGCAGAAGAAGAGGTAGAGGAAGGAGGAGGAGAAGAAGAGGACTTGCTGTCGTCTCCCCTCTCCTTCTCCTCGGGCGAGACGGTCTGATCTTGATCCATGGTGCACTGCTTCCCGCCGTCGTCGTCGTCCTGGCAAGAGAATCCAAAGGGGCAGCAGCCGTCACCGCAGCCGGGGAGGTCGACGTCGAAGACGGTCGTCTTGAGCTGGACGTCCGGGTCGCGCGTCGCGTTCTGGGCCTGGACGTTGCACGTTATCGGCTTCAGGCTCCCGCACGAGGCAGACTCCGGGCAGCAGAGGATGGTGGTGGCGGCCGCGAGGGAGACGCAGGTCTCGTCCTCCCGGCAGCAGATGTTGTCCGGGAAGGAGGCGCCGCACTGCTTCAGGTCCTGACCGGCCGAGCAGGTCCTGTCCGAGTCGCGGGCGAAGATGGACGGGGTCGGGGTGCCCTTGACCGAAGGGGTCAGGGCCAGGGTCAGGGTCAGGGTCAGGGTCAGGGTTCGGAGGAGGATGAGCCATGGAGGCGGCGTCATGGTTCTATATATTGTATCGTATATGTACCTGACCGTTGACGAGATCAGAGTGGTCAGGGAGGGGAAAATGGTCGGATAATCGTGGTGATGGTCTGTCGAACGAGAAGCCCGCTGTAGGGGAAGAAGAGCGAGATGGATCGCCGAACAAGAAGGTTATTCGAGGGAAGAATGATGGATCTTTCAAAAAGAAGAAGAGATGAGGGGAATATGAGGGGGAAGAAACGAGTACAAGAAAAAAAAAGAGTATAAAAAAATAAAAAGAGGAAAAGATCAGACAGGACTCTCCTCGGTATAAAAAGGAGAGGGACTTCTCTGACCTCGAAGTTGAAAGGGTGGGGTTATTACGAGAAGGAAGAAGAAGAAAGAGACAAGAGAAGAATTCTGCCTTCAAACACGGAAAAACAGCGAAGAAAAATGTTGTATGCTCTTGACAAAGGAGATGGCAGATTTGAGAGAGACAGAGAGAGAGAGAGAGAGAGACAAAGAAAGGAAAATGAACGGGAGAGGGTGAACGGGAGAAAGAAGAATCAAGAGAGAAGAGGAGGTAGCAGCAGACAGCTGTGCATACGGCATACGAACGCCAGGGAAGTTTTACTTGCCGCCCATAGAGATCCATCGTATGGTCAGGCCGTCGTCATCTTCTCCCTCCCTCCCTCCCTCTCTCTCTCTCTCTCTCTACCTGAATGCTGAGTTGGAAACGAGATGGTCGACCAAGCATATTACCCACTCATCTCACATGCAACCCCTAGGCAGAAGACAGAAGACACCTTCCCCTAGCATGCAATGTACTCGCGGGCAGCATGTCCTAGACGCCAATCCAGCGGCTAAGAGCATCTCGTCTCCATGTCCGTTCTGGGGCGGGCGGTTACGGCATGGAAAATCCGTTGGTTGTCTGTCGTCGGTTCCCCGTCGTCACTTAGACGCCGGGATAGAGTCATGGCCAATCATTTCTATATCTAGCCTTTTTTCTTTTTTTTTAAAAAAAAATTATTTTTATCTCTCATCACTTGCAAACAAAACACGTCATCGGCATCAGCTGATGCAGTCAGTCTGGTTCTTCTCTTTCTTCCTGTCTCTCTTTCTTTTTTTCTTCCTCCTTTCGTCTTCTCTCGTTCTGTTTCATATTACCCATCACCATCAGCTTGGCAGTGGTTACTTTACTTGTATTGATGATGATACCTGATATTATCTACTGTATTAATATTATTCCTGGGACACGAATGGGCTGCTCTTTTGTCTACCCTGCGTTGCTTTGCTTCGAATCTGCCAGATTTCACGTCCCATCTAGGATGCTGTATCGGCTCAGATGTGGATTGAATATCATGATGTAAGAGAATGAAGATATATAAATATACATGCAGAGAGTCTCCTCTATTCTTCAGAGGCGCTGTCGTCTTCATGCATCATGTGTCGACACATCTCTACAGTAAGCAGACTCTCTTCACGACAGATATATACCAGGAACCGTCACACGTTGAGACAGATGTCAGGGTAGACTATATTCGATATAATTCAATGATTATATACCGGGAATCCTCACTCCAGCATCTCCTAGGTCCAGCCATGCATGTGTTTCGACCAACCCAATCCAAGGCTCATTTCCAGAGCGGGCCTCTCTTTGACTCTCAAAAAGTCTCCGTGTATCCAGAATGGTAAAAGAAAAAGAAAAAAAAGAAAGAGATATAAAGACACCAAATCAGATGCTACCATGCTATGTGGAAAACCGAGTTTCCGATCCCCATCAACCCGGGAGGAAAACGTAATGCGCCGCCGATATATATAAAGAGGAAGAACAAGAAAGACAGAAACCATCTTGCGCCGGTGATAACCCGATCCCTGCTCGCTAATGTATCAAGACTAAGAAACCGAGAGGAGAGAAGGTGAATCCCAGACTCTCCGGGGAGATGAAGGGTTGAGAGGATTGTCCAAAGGAAAATCCAGTCTGACGTATCAACGTATCGAAAAAGAAAAAAAGTCCCGAGTGTCGCTTCTTCCAAAGAAGCCCGAAGCCTTGCGGCGTCCTCTATCCCATCCCAGCGGGTATAGTTTGAAGAAGAGAAGAAGAATTGCAGACAAGATTAAAAAAAAAAAAGCCGGAAGAGAGAAGGCAAGTGTGTGAAGTCCTGCTTCAAGTGGAAAGATCCGAGCAAGATGATCGAATGGGAGGGGGATGTGAAAAGATCAGGAAAAAAAAAAACACAACAAGAACAAGAACAAAAAAAAGGGGGGATGAGATGGGAGAGATGTTTAGATCATCAAGAAATCCCATCCCTTCATGTGCATGACATCCCTCCAGTGCATGAGGGTAGAGTTCACCTCCGAGCCGTCAGACCCGGGCGTGGCCCTGGCCTCCTGGAGGGGGTCGTTGTGCGCCCACGTGGCGCGCAGCACGTTGAGCATGCGGCCGAAGCTGCCGCACTGGGCCTGCTCTCCCAGCTGGCCGACGCGGTCCTCGAAGAAGGGCCGGAACTCGCTGTCGGGGAGGCTGATGGACCCGCCCATCAGGTAGACCCAGACCAGGCTGCGGTCGTACCCGTGCGGTCCGGACGGGACCGTGCCCAGCACGTCCACCAGCCTGGCCACCAGGGTGATGGGGGAGTGCTGGTTCGGCGAGAAGCCCGGCACCAGGCTGCAGAGGTAGATGCGCGCCGCCAGCCGGAAGGCCGTCGTGATGTTGCGCGACAGCTGCTTCGGCGAGAGGATGCCCTCCGCGCTGAGGGCCGGCTTGACGGCGCCGCCGACGTCGGCCGAGGAGCCCGGATACGACGACGATTCCATCTCGGTCAGCGTCATCTGCTCTCCCAGGAGGGAGACGTGCTGGCAGAGGGTGAAGTCGTCCATGCCCGTCTTCTTGAGGGACTCGAGGCAGGCGATCTCGGAGATGAGGTACATGACGCGGTCGTCGCAGCCCATGAGCTCGCGGAGGCCGAGGCTGGGGTTGGCCGACGCCACGTGCTTCTCGCGGTAGGCGTGGGCGAAGGTGGGCGAGACGCCCGTCATGGAGGCGCCCAGGATGTCGATCCAGGCCGTCAAGGTCATGTTGAAGGGCGCCTGGAGGACCTGCTGGGCCGGGTCGAGCACCATCTGCGGCAGGGCCAGCTTGTGCACCAGGTTGACGGCCGCCTGGAAGTGCTGGTGCCACGGTATGTCGAGGAGGCCGTCGTCGCAGCGGCCGGCCACGCACTGGAAGAAGATGAGGGCCAGCGTCGCCTCCAGTATGTCCTGGTGGTTCTCGTCGCGCTTGAGCGCCTCGCACAGCGACCAGATGGTCGCGTACCGGTGCCGCATGATGTCCTGGTCCAGCTCGGCGCTGATGGCGTTGACCTGGCCCTTGAGGTGCTGCGCCGCCACGGACAGGCAGCAGTGCAGGTACACCTGGTTGTTCTGCAGGGCCGGGAGGATCAGCCCCGTGCCCACGCAGCCGTGCTGGTTGGACTCGAGGATCGGGAAGATGGTCGGCAGGACGGCCTGGATGAAGTGCTCCAGCAGGCGCTGGTCGTTGTCCTCCAGCTCCACCCTGAACTCGAATCCCGACGACGGAGCCGGCACCGACGACGACGAAGGGGAGGGGGGATCCTGGTGGTGCTGGTGCGCAAAGTCGAAGAAGTTGACGTCGAACGTCTCCTCCGAGAGGGACTCGCAGCGCTCGCGGTGGATGTGCTCCGCCCAGGAGGACCCGTCGTCGACCCCGACGCCGCACGGGAGCACCGTCCCGGGCGGAGGGGGCGTGTGGAAGGTGCTGAAGGTCGAGACGTGCGACTCCTTGAGCGTGGGCACGTCGTCGACGAACATCTGCCTCTCGGTCTTGACGTCGATCTCGTAGGGAGAGTAGCCTACGCCCGGGCCGGCGCCGGCACCGCCGATCAGGAAGTTGGGGGCCAGGTGCGCGCCGTAGACGCTGTGGATGCCGGCCGGGTTGGGGGGCGTGTTGAAGCTGAAGCCGTTGGAGAAGTGAGAGTCGATCGAGGAGGACCGGTTGCGCTCCGACGGGTCCGTGTACGTCGACGTCGGGACAGAGTGGCTGAGGCTCGGGGGGGAGTTGAGGTTGATGTTGGCGGCCGCAGTGGGCATGGCGTGCGACTTCTCCGACAGCTTCTTCTGCTTGATGATGTTCTTGATGTCCTCCTTGCGCTGGCGGCGGGTGTCGGCGTTGCCCCACCACATGGGCCTCTTGTATTCGCACGACAGGCCGAGATTCTTGCAGGCTGAGCAGACTGGGTCACCCTCATCGCACTTCTTGCGTCTGAGTCGGCATGTGTAGCATCCTATTGTAAGGAGAAACAAGAGCGTGTAAGTCAAAAGTTTCCGCAATGCTTTCTTTCTTTTTTTCTTTCTTTCTTGTGGTGGTGGTGGTGGGGGGGGAGGCGCAGAGGTCCATGAGGGAACACTGCTATCTCGTCTTGTTCTCTCACCACGTGAATGTGACGAGGACGTAAGAGAAGTAGAGGATGAGACTAACCTGTTCTCGAACGACGGTGCATCTGCGACCTGGGCCTTTGCTTTCCACTGTTGCCAGCCTTGGAAGCCGGTTTGGCCTTTGAAGATGTTGTTGCGGCCATGTTGCCCATGCTTCCAGGAGCTCGAACGGGACCCTTGGAGTAGTTGGGGGGTTGGCTAGACATTTGTATACTCGGGAGAGCTCTGAGGAAAATAAAAGGGTCTCTTTTCTTTTCGGCCTCTTATTTGGTTATACTCCAAATGTCTCTTACCACCACACACGAGGGGGGGGGGGGGGGGGGGGGGGGGGGGGAATTTCCCTCTTTTTCCTTTTTTTTTAAAATTTTTTTTTGGGGGGGGGGGGGGGGGGGGGGGGGGGGGTGTCACTGTGTGTCGATCCGGGAGAGAGCACTGTAAGGGTGGATCTTCTTTACCGGGACCACAGAGAGAGAGAGAGAGCAGCCACTGGCTGGGGGGAGAGGGTCGAGAGAAGGGAAATGCAGGATTTTTGATAGCCCCGGGTCTTGTCTTCGGGTTATCTCGCCTTCTCAGTGGTCGGGGGTTGAATTATGAAATTAATTTGGTGTTTCCTGGCGTACTTGGTCGACTTTCAATGCGTTGTGTGTGTGTGTAAGCCAACCAAGTCTTTGTATGTCGCCAAGTTCGAGAAGAAGGGCATGCAATATCGGCCGGCCGTAATATGTGAATGTTTCTTCTTCTTCTCTTCGTAAAACGAAACTGAACGATGACTGAGAGCGAAAATCGTAACTGGAAAAAAAATTATTATAGTAAAAAAAAAAAAAGTAAGGACTGGTTGTTGAGCAAGTCCAGCTTGCTGACTGAGTTGGAAGGAGGAAGAGAGATGAGAAGGGGGGAAAAAAGAGAAAAAGGTGGCAAAAAAGGCGACACTCTGGGACTCGACACCTTCTGATACGTGAAGAGGAAAGGAAAAGAAAGAGGGCAAAATTCGAGGCCTGGGTTGCAGGAGGCCAGACTTATATTTTGGCCGCTTTCCAAGAGACCTGTACTCTCTCTCTCTTACTTGTATGTGTTGACGCTGATGTCTTCAAGATTGTGGGTTTTGCTGGGGGGGTTTTTTTGCCCAAATTACCAATTGTTGCTATTTTTGAACCAACCTCATTTCCTTCACACTCTCTCTCGTGCACTAGAGCAGAGATCTTCTGTGAGCGTGAGTGAGGGAGGGGAGCGAGAGATGCGACTGCGCTTACAGAAGCCAATGAGCATGGGTCTCTGGAGATATCCTCCCTCTTGCCTCTTGACCTCCACCCAGAGGTGGTGTACGGATATGCAGAGGACTGCAGTCGGCAGGACGAGACAGGGGTCCCGTGGGGTGTACGTGTGCCAGAAAGGGAAACTGGGCCTGCAGAGTTGCCCTCGTACTCGTACGTAGCGGATGGCGGTTGGCCGGCCACCTACGAGTAGAAAGCTCTCTCTCCCTCTCTCGAGGCGACGGGAAGCCGAGCTTTGCTGCTCCTGCTGCTCCTGCTGCTCCTGCTGCTGACCTTGGCCGGCAACGGCGTGGCCCATCTTGGAACTCTCGTGACACTTTTCCCATATACTTCCGGGAACTCACCCTTGGACAGGAGAGAAGGTTGTGTGCGAGCTTGCCGTCCGCATCACACCATTCAAGGCTTTCGCTCCAGTCTGGTACACGGGGAAGAGGGAGAGAGAAAGGCCGGGCTCCCTCGCGCGCTCTCCCTGTCCCTCATCTGGACCCGCCCCAATCGTCATAGCCAAGGTCCTTCTGTGGATGTTTGCGCCGGTCAGATGAACTGACGGGATTCCCGCATGCGCTATAATATGTTAGCATGACCTGCCGTAGGTATCGGTAAGCCTTGCTGTAGCGTATGGAGGGCTAGGTCCGGCCGAGCTGATCGTACCGGTACGAGTAGGCAAGAAACAGAGCAATACGGCAGTACAGTGATAGGACTCCTAGAACAGTGCTTGCAGACCATCTGGCAAGCCGACTGGCAAGCCGACTGGCAAGCCAAGAGAGGATGGCCGATGATGATTACCAGTAGTGGTATGTCGCATTATGCTGTCTTGCATGGGTCAAAAAAGCCCGCCTGCAGGAAACAGTCTTCTCTGATTTGCTCAAGAGAGGAATCAAATGCACACTAGTTGTAGATGGTCATGTACCTTGGTAGCGACGGTAGTATTGGTACGTCCTAGTAGCATGCGTGTGTAGAGAGAGGGTTAAGGCGGCCGGCCCCTCACACGCACACACACACACACAAACACGCACGCATGCGCACGCACAAGTCAAGAGTCTGTCTGGGGAAGCACTGCATGCCATGGAAGGGGCGTCGATAGTGTCACCTAAGCTTTTCGTGGCCCTATGATTCTGGCCAACAAATTCGGTAGAGAGAGTCCGCATTGTCTCGGTGGCTCAGCCAACGGAAGAAGAAGCATGGCAAGCCGTGCCTCGTGGGAGAGATCAACAGCATGACAGCCCACGCGTACTCGTCGAAGCTGGCAGGAAGAGACAGATCCGCCGAGAGAGGCGAAAAGAGAAAGAATGCAAAAAAATAAAATAAAATAAAATAAGATAGATGGTCCGCTAGCTAAGACTGATCGGTTAGTTACTATATCCATACATCGGTTGACAGTTGCGGCCGCCCCAACGTGCCGTGTGACGGGTAGTACGTACATGTAGTCAGTCGTACGTATACTCTATACTCACTCGTATGGGGAGCAGGGGGGAGGAGGTGAGGTGGTGGTGTACCGGTAGAGAGAGGAGGAGCTAGGAGCTCTCTCTCTTTCCCTCTCTCACGCACGCACAAAACAAGAATACCATCATACCCCACCATAAAGGTACAGAGACCGGAGGAAAGGAGGGGGGTCGCAGCAATGGTGGTGCCTTCTCGCAGGTATTCATCAACCCGAGTACGGGTGGTGGTGTGATGATGGATGTGGAATGTGGAGGGGGGTCAAGAGAGGAGGGGGGGAGGAGAAAAAGGAAGGATTGAAAATGTGATGTCGTGTGCAGATCTGGCTGCATTAGCGGCGCAGTACAGAAAAGGCCTGTCATGACGGCTGATTGGTCCAGTCTGTGTGACAGAGGGTTGTAGGGTGCAGGAAAGCGGCAGGGACGGCGGGACCAACCGATTTGTGCCGAGCAGCTGCTACAGATAGGACTCGTAGGAGCCCTCCACCCTCCCCGAGTCCCCCCTGCTAGGCTGCCACTGCCAGTAGGCTGCTGGCCCGCCAGAGATGCCCGCCAGAGATGCCCGCCCACGTCCACGTCCATATTGCTCGGTTGGTTGACTCACCCTGTTAGCGCCCTCACGGAAAAGCAGGGATGGCTTCGGCTGTTGACAGTGCCATAGTCAACCTCTATTGGCTGCTGTGCCATTTGGGTGATGACAGGGGTTTGGGGTGGGGTGGGAAGACCCTTAGTCTGCTCTCAGGGCCCAAAGTCCTCTCCCGCTTCACCCAATGGCATGTGCCCGTCAGCTACGAGTCACCCTCGTAATACATGTATGTACTGCTGATTATGATGATTATTATTACTTCCTTCCTTCCCGGGGCCTCTACTCTCTCTCAACCCAGTATTACCCCATGTCTTTCCGGATGTCCACACGTGATGCCCGCTCGTCGGTCGTAATGGCCACTCGAGCCGTTCTGCCTGTCTTCGTCTTGTCGAGAACCGGAGGAGTCGTCGTTTCCTCTCCCTCTCCATCTCCACCGCTCTATCGTGGTCTCGTCGAGGTTTCTGCTGCGATGTGTCTGTCTTCATCCTGCCAGCAAGTGATGGCAGAAATGACCTCACGATGGCGGCACGTGCACGGTGCGGTACGTAGAGCCGTAGATATTCGAGAGAAACAGAACCAACATGTAAGCCCCGTTCGAGATGCGCATACGTGCTACTCTCCCGAGATGCATCTGACCATGTCCTGTCCCGAGATCTCCCTCTCCCTACTCTCCTCCTCGACTTGTGTCGCGGTCCCACACGCCCATGGACCGTCATCAGTGCCAAATTTAGCCCACATACGCTACGTCGGTCATGTCATGCCAGTGCTCTGACTGCTACCAGCTCAGCTCCCATCCATACCTGTCTAGCGTAGGGTTGCAGCGGCTTTGCAGTGGTAGTTGGTTCACGGACCGACCATCTCTGCGCAGCTCACCATTCACGTTCCTACCTGCTCTATTCTGGGCTAATTAGTCCAGTTTCTATTTTTATTTTTGCCCAGATTCCCTCAACACATACCTGCAGTATATGATGTACTGCTCCGTAATACCATCTTTCCATCTTTCCTATCTGGTAGTAGCAGAGTTGACCCTGCTCACCTCCTCCCCCTCCCCCGCCCCCAGCCTTCAAAACAACCTACCTATAATGCATGCTCGTACCTGTGCATTACGCTTGTGCATCGCTCTTGTGCATCGCACTTGTGCACGATATTGAACTGCGGCCCCACGGGTCGGGCCTCTCTCCATTCTTTCGTCCCCCCCCCCTCCTCTCGTCTCCGGATCCCTCCACACCATCCAAGCAAGGAGGAAACTTTTGTCGTGATAACGTCAGGTTTTCTCTTCTCCTGCTGGCAATACCGCTGCTAGTTGAATACTAGCAGCTCAGGTAACGATGGCAGTTCCCAAGATACCCGAACCGGCCCGTAACTCCTAGTAATCAAGTCCACGCCGTATCGGTCACTCCCATCCACAGCCGTCTCATCACATTATGTGATGAAAAAAAAAATTGAACGGGAGAAGGAGGGAGGGGTACCAAATCTCCCCCCTTCGCTGTTGCTATGCTAGTGCTCTCAATCCCCCTTTCCAAGATGTTCTCGTCGATCGGAAGAGTACGATACTGATACAGTCTCCTCTTTCCCTTCCCACTCTGGTGGCGTCAAGGTGCAGACAGCTCATGGACAATCGCGTTACATTGGGGGGGGGGGGGGCAGATTCGTCCTACTCCGGTACCTGATGCCAGTCGTTTTGACGGAGTGCTGCTCCGTACATTGTAAGCTATGCTCAATTGCTCAATTGTTTGTGTAGCATTGCAGAATACCATGCCGGGCTCGTCTCTCAATTGCCTGCCCTAGACCGTTTGCCAATCTTTCAGCCCTGGGGCAAGGGCGGGCGCCCCTCCCCCTTGATCCCG